AGAGGAGGGGGAGGGGGAGGGAGGAGAGGGGAGGAATGAAAAAAGAAGAAACTTGGGGGGCGTCTGCTCCTCATACAAATGTCGCTTTGGGAAAGTTGAGAGTTCGCGCCTTGATTGACTTTGAGTCAAGTTGGATTGGATTCAAGTCCTTTGTCTCCTCATCTGTCTCGCTGGGGAAGTGCTTCTTCAAGTCTAGGCTTTTGGGACTGACCTGATCACCATTTAAATGGCCTTGTGAAGCGAATGCTACGGTCGGCATCGGCTGGAATCTAGTCTCCATGTCGACCGCGCTAGTAACAAGCATTCGGTGATAGTCGCCTTCTTCTGGATCCAGCGACCGCACCGTAGGATGCATTTCATTGTTCAGGTGCTGTGTAGTTCGGTAGTAGGCCTCACCCTCGGACATACGGTGGTTTGTTGCAATAGGCGGATCCAGGGTTTGATATTCGTCTATAAACGGCGCATTAGATAAGACCACAGTAATTGAGTCGTTATGATGGAAACTGGAGACCAATAAAAATTATTAGAAGTTAAATTAACACCATTAGGCAACGGCCGAGCCGAAGTTTATTGAATCCAACCGTTGCCTTCGCGATCCCAGTTTCGTAGGAGAACGGACAAAACTATATGACTATATCGAAGTTATTTTCCTGAGCATCGCGCTCAATTATATAAGCGAGCAGGCAACAACATATTTCTGGCGTCACACTGTGGAAATGGGTCTATTATGTAACCTAACTGAACTTTTGGAGAATAGACATAAGATAATCAAGAGCAGATTCTAGCACCGCAAAGAGCGGGGAATCTGTAAAGCCATAGATTTTTACTGTGGGAGAAAAATGATCAAAGAGAAAAGCGAGTTATTCAGACAGTCGCAGATCTGCACTTAGGAGATCTCAATTGGCAGCAGATCGTATCAAAAGAGTGCAAAACGATCTGCTTGGTAGAGCATTTTCTTGAAACAGTTTCTTTGTGCTTGTGTAAGGACTCCCCTCTACTCCTTGGGAGTCTTGAAAGAGCGCCGTCGTTGAATCGATCATCTTACTTGCTTCGAGCCTCAAACAACTCAAGCTTCGAGAGCTTTAGTGCGTACTGTACATGAAGTTGACCACTCTCGCGCTGATGAGGCGCGGGGGACAGAAAAAGTCGAGGGGAACGCAACGTTTTTAGTAGTGGTGGTAAAGAAAAACGGCCTCGTATACCATCAACATCATTCACCCTCGTCACTACGACCGAGAGCGAATACTATGTCGAAGGGGGTCAGCCAATAGTGGGAGGACACTTCTGTAAGCCTCGGTTTGGCGCCTTTGTCTTTCATCCTTCCCCGTTCCCACCGCCGAACCCAGATTAGCTGAACTGGGAGGGGGAAGTAAAGAACCATCTTTTCTGCTACTTATACCACCTCTTCTGATATTTTTCTTCCGCTTCATATTCTATAGGCTTGCTGGACACTCCGCAATGCAGTCTGCTCAAAAATAACATATGTTTCCATGAATACGTGTGGGGGTATGCGTGCAAATGTTCCTGTCTTACTAAAAGAAACTGGAATCATCTGGACTATCACTACGGGACTATGGCAAACATTCTCAGTCCCCTGTCCTCTTGGGAGCGCGTCCATCTGTTCTCGACACCGAAGCTTGATGCCAAATAAGGATCCGACGTAGGTACCGGACAGACACTGAGAGCCCACCACCTACCTCCCATTTATTGAACTACTAGTTATTGAGTTAGCCAAAAACCGGGTGCTCCGGTCGATGGGCGAAGTTCAGTATTCTGACACAAACTCACACATGCAAGGTCAGAAACATGTTTTCTTAATTTGGCATGTGCGTGTTTTCAAATAAAGGAAGTTGGGGATACTTATGGAGGGCTCCGTTTACCCCATTTTCCTTCCGTACACTAGCATTATAGTGCTTGTCGGAAAAAATAATGCTCACCGGGTAACTAGTGGTTCCATTTTTATTCCTCCGTTTACCATGTGAAGATTATTTTCACTGCCTGCACTAGCGAAGGGAATATTTGTGAAGCCAGTTTGAAGCTGCGGCTGATACAGTAAATTTTAAGCACCATTCTTATTCAAGCGACTAGCAGTGGCTGCCACACCGATGACCCCAAGGAGGGTTCCGCAGATGTTGATAGGGTATGAGTGAGTAAAGTCAAATCCATCCCTTTGGACATCGGTTTAGAGACTGGTTATTGCGGAACTTTAAACCGATCTAGCAATTTTCACAGGCTAAGATTGATGCGACTGACTATTTAGCGGCCTTCACTAGTCGCAACAGTGACCAGTTGACGAACGTCGTTTTGTCTTTCCTTCATGCACTAAACACCGCACTATAAAGTCCACTTGGACGGAGATCAATTGGCAAATCACCAAAGATACTCCTCGAAATGAGGCGACATTTATAGGCAAGATATTTGCCCATGAGTTCGGATTATGTGCAGTCGCTGACTCAAACCTCTTCCAAGATATTGAAGCCGTTTACTGCTTGTGCCTGCCGAAAGTAAAGCCCCATGATGCACCAGGCTTTGGATTGGGAGTTCCGGTGACTGCACCAAGGTGCATGGCTCTTTTTCGTTGACTTCCGCGCCTCTCTCGTCACCCTCCATGCCTCACCCCTGTCATCCGTCCTTTTTTCCCACATTTTCTTCTCTTTTTTCGTTTCCTTTAGCAATTTCCGCTGATTCTTACCTTTCCCATCCACGCACGCCTTCTCCACCGTCTCACCTGCCCCCTCGCTCTATTATTCTAGTCTTACAGCAAACGTCCCCGTTCTCGCCCTTCTCCTTCGCCTGTCCCCTGTGTTTCTTCTTCCTTCTCAAGCCGGGCGTACGTTAATGGACGCCATTGGTTGGTTGAGGTGTAGGAGGGGAAGAACTTGGTTGATACAAATCGAAAACGGGTACTCAGGCTATTGGAGACGCGCCACCAAAAAGAGGAAACACTTTTTGTGCGTAATCGTGTGTGCGTGTGAGTGCACTTTTTCTAGCCTACTTCCTATCCATAATTAAACAACTGGGCGTAAATCGCTGCGTGTGAGTGCGCGGGGGGGGGATGCCTTCATCTCTCATGCACCTGCGCGCACGCCTTCGGATAAACAATTGTCGATCGCAAAAAGGGCGGGGGGAGGGAGGGAAAGAGGAGTACGAAGGCGACCTCCGACGCATGGTAGCCGCCACCCAAGCCCTGCTGTCGCAACTTGTCACTTTGAGCAGGCATACACAGTAGGGTGTGTAATTACCGATTCAGACACGAAACACGTAGAAGAGGGGAGAGGCAGCCCTAACCGTCGGAAAAGTAGACTAGGACTAGAAGGAGGCGAAAAGACAGTATGTAGGCCAAAACGACTCCTGGTTCGTCAGAGTGCTTAAAAGGGCCTTACATGCAACACCGCCGGCAGGATTCAAATGTTCGTGGCATGCTTTGAGCGATCGGTGACTTTCAGATTCCTCGTGGACTTCATTTGCGACGGTTACGCCCAAATAAATATTCCATCAGGTAATGCCAGGTGGCGAACACTGATAAAATTCGTTTTGATGCATTGCATGTGACCCAGTTCATAGAAGAGGAGACTAGTTCCTAGACAATGAACTCGCCTCCTTTTCTTTTTCTTCGGGGAAGGATGAAATCGCAGAGGGCGGGTAGACTGATAGAGAACTGTTTCAGGCTTCTTTGCCTTCACCCAGTCCATCATAACCAACCACCAGCTGGGACCGGAATCACAAACATGCGCACAGACACACCTGGCACAGCTGGTTCACTACCGGAATCTACCAGATGTATCATAAGTACTTCACCGAGTCTTCACCAGTGTCTTCCCACCTGTCATTCTCTGTCGCTGCAGATCGGGTATTTATTTACTCAGGAATGAGCGCGCACTATGACCTCTATCACCCATAAGAAGCTTGTTTGTTTCGGGAAGCCAATGGATAGGTGTGCGCCCATTTCTGAATGAATATGTTCGCATATATATGCAGGATAAAATTACTGCAACATGATCGGTGCAAGCCCCTCTACCATTGTTACTATGCTCGATCGCAGCCAAGAGGACAAAAAGTCAGTGGCTTAATGGTTAGGGCGTTAGACTTCTAACCAACAGGTCTCGAGTTCGAGCCTCGGGGGTGACATACCTCGGAGCTGGGTATGGTTGGCTGATGACGCCTAGCAAGCCAGAAATGGCCATTCCAGTTTCCCTTGTCTTTGCTGGTAATGGTTTTCTGTCCATCTAACGCGCCACTGTTCGGCTGCTGTCGAGACTCGAGAGAGAGAGCCTCAAGGTACAGCAGGACGAGTGAGTTTTTCAAAGCGATGGGCGCGCGCCCGTTTAGCATGCATATATATGCAGATAGTGCTTTACTGATAAGGACAGAGGGAACTGGTCGTTTCTGGCTTATTAGCCGTCATCGGCCAGCCATACCCGGTCCGAGATTTTGAGGGCCTTGAAGTTAGGACCCGGACTCCTTGTTAATAGAACGTTAGGGATTTTGACGCTCTACCACTGAGCCACAGGCCCGTTGTCCCGTCAAATTTAGTCGAGTGGGGAGTGTTCACCGCACAATGCCAATGCTTTTTAGTTGAATGGGTATTCCGTGGTTATTACGCGTAAAGGTTTATCACTTCTTCGGAGCTGACCCTACGAAAGTCGAGTCCCGTGCGCCTCAACCCAAGTCTTTTTCTTTATAATTGTCAGCGTATACCACACAATCGTGACCACAGGACGAAATACGGACATCTGTGCCCCGACGTGGAGACTTCGACCAAGGCCAACGCGAATGGGTAGTACAAGAAGAGCCGCCACCGAGCAAGAAAGAATTATTGACAAATCAAGAGAAACCTAAGTTGTCACATTTGATCTATTTACCATCCTCAGCCGGCTACACTCCAGTCCCAATCGAGAAGACCTGGACTTAAGGCAAATCACGAGACTCTGGGCTGCAGCTCAGAAGTAAAAGCCAAAGTAGTCAGATATTTTATCATGACCTATAGGTAGCCGTCAAAGTTATGTGACCCCGAATACTCTATCACATGTGGCTGGATTGGGGGAGCGTCGAGCCCGATGACTAACTAGACCAGAATGCAAATCTCAGGCTTTCCTACTCCTATCCACTCGCTGAAAAACAGAACTTTCTACTGTGGCTATAAATTTCGAAAAGCTAACGGAGACGAATGATCTCTTCGTCCGCTGCACTCTCTGGCCAAGTTATGCGGCAGGCTAGGCCACAGCCGACCGAAGTGGTCTGGGGACATTGTTACGGCCCTAGTTTCAAAGTCATCCTTTGCTAAACCTGACGAAGAGGCGGCCAGCTGCGAACTCGACTTGACACTGTCTGCCGGGGCGCTGAGACGCTTTTTTGACCTTCGACATGCGGTCTTCTTATCAAGGGAGGTAAATGGCTGAAGCCAACCATATCCCGTTTCACAGATCTCCAGGGGTAGGGTGTTGCCGGCAGCCATTGCGGCCATGTATGGCGTCCTTGTTCAGGGTCTCATTGCGTCAATTTCATTGGCTTTTGCAGCGAGCGGTTCCAGACGCGCTGCGAAGCAGCCACTCGACCGACTTCAACTCGGACCCAAGTGTGTCCAATGATTCGCAGATATCAATGTGCCACTTGAACACACCACCTCCCTGTAAACACAACATAAACGACTTGAACCATCCCTCGGCGAATGCAACACATACCGATTGGATACCACTTGAGCTTGGCCCACGAGTCTATAAAAGCAGCTGCCGAACAAACTCTTAGGCATGACTAGACGCAGTCAACACCAGCTCTGAATTCGCCAGCGACCACTGCTGCCTGAGAGGACAACTCAAGGTTCTGCATTCAATAATCCCCCCCCCCTCCCCCAATCTGGTGACTTCTGTCTTCTCCTACAACTCGGGGTTTGGCTTGATGATTATAGCTCTCTGAGTGCATTCTCACCGCTTAGAGACCACAAAGGCATCATAAGGACCGTTGCTGGGGCTGGCTCGATTATGCACTACGTTAACCAACAATAGTTTACAGAAATCTAAAGCGGAATGTATTACCCCAGGCTTTTACAATAACCTAGGGCGAAATGCTAGAGGTGAAATGAATATATACGTAAACGCAATAAGTGTACATTGCAAAACAAAGGGCAGGTTTGGATATACAGTTTTACAATTATTTGCCATACTGACAACAGAAGTACTGACTAAAAGCCCAGACACGTCTGTTTCTCTGATTTTATGCCGTTGCCTGACGCAGCTGCGAAGGGTTCGGCTCATCAGTGGGTTCACCAGCCTTCCCCGTGTGTTTTCTGGTACATAAACTCCAGTTCCACCCTGCCGTGTTTAATTTCCGAGGAAATAAATGCACGTACTCGGAGCAAGTTCTTTGGAATAGGCCTTTCCAGGCACGGTCCGGACGTTGATATGAATATTCGAGCTAGTGGATTTCAGCTCACATATTAATGTCAACTTACGAACCGTCTCTGAAAAGGCATGTTCTGAAGAATTAACTACAAGTTCGCGCATCAATTTCCTCGGAAATTAAACAAGGCGAGATTTGGATAAGGTTCTCCTGGACAGTGCCTACTTTCTTTACAGCCAGGAAAATCCTCCCTTTTGAAACGAGTACCGCGCATGACAAAAGTGTATGTAAATAGCATTTTTGACTTGTTCGAACGATCTTACTGTTAATTACGCGTGCATGCCGAACTCATTTAAGCCATTAGAATTCCCATCTCGGGTCGGTTTTTTAGGTTAATTCTCGTGAGTTGTTGGGCCATCTGATTTACCGTGGATCCTATTTCCGGAAACGTTGCCCCTTTAATGTAGTTTGTGAATGCACATCTGAATTGTTCAGTAGACAGAACAAATTACAGCGTGCTTATGTTTTCCAATGAGAAGTTATTTCTGCAAAGAAAATGGCGTTATTGGGGTTATTGCAAACTGGTTTCTCAAAGTACTAAAGCTAACCTCGCCCATATCCCGTGGAATGAATTGTCGTTGCTGGGGGTGCTCGCGTTGAAACAATGGAGGTGGGCCCTAATGCCCCGTAGCCAGATATTGAAGGCTGTTGTTGTATTTGGTGTCCGAAATGATATCCATTGCGGTAAGCGAAGCTAGAGTTGGGGGTGCATCCGGTTTGATGCGGAATGGAAGAGAAGGCAGGACTCCCCATGGGCCTGATCATTCGTCCACAGCCACCGGTCTGTCGCGTTTCAAAAGCCAACTTGTTGGCATCCATCACTGTAGGCCATGATGTCTCGCTGAAAAACGCCTGAGACGGACTGCTTATAGAATACTGTTGGGTTGAGGGAGAGAAGAAAAAGGAAAATAGGATCACACGTAAGAACCTGCTGGTTGCTGTCAAATTCTCATCGCTGCCAAATGCCATTCGACGATACCAGCCTTATGTATTTTAGCTAACTTGGCAAAAATATTTTTCCGCTTGTATTGGAACCAAAAACGTAGACAATGCATGTCGAATAGGGGGGCTGGCTTATGAGATGCGGCCGGCTGAACTAACTGGAATTTTTGGGAAAAATGAGCTGCGCTGATGATTAGTAATGTTTGCGCCGAACCTATTTGCCAGATCTATTAAATGAACGTCTTATAATAGCTTTCCCGACGGCGTGAGATATGAGTGCGCAGAAGGTGAGGACTATGCTGGCGACGTTGGGAAACGTGCTGTTTTTGTCAGATATGGCAGGAAAATGCCCGCGAAAATTGAAAAAAAACTGGGACCGTTGAAATGAAAGTTCAGCCTTTGATTTCGGAAGAGCAGAAAAAACTATAGGGCAGAGGAAGTTTCCGAAGGACCCCTAACCTGATTATATAGCTTACTAGTGTACGCCAAATTTTGGCTCATTTTGAGTGACCTGTACAAATAAAAATGTCAAATGATGAGAGGGAAATAGAGAGGTGACCCAATAAGAGTTCAAGTCAGGAAAGCGTGTTAGTGAGCGTTTTCTGCCACGGTCAAGAGTGTTGAAACCTTTGAGAGAAGTGTCGGAAGGTAGTTAGAGATAGTAACTCAAGGCCAACTCCTCGTCAATTCTCCTTTCCCAGTCTGATTTACCAGAACGATATAGAATTGTATGCATTGCTAAGATAAGTGAGGCAATTCTTAGTGCATTTAGGGGAAAGTACCTTACAGGCATTTCTTACAAGACTAAGTACACGATCGAGGGTAGGAATTTTCATCAAAACCAGTCAGCAATGTCCCAGAAGACGTAGAGACTGTGCATAGTTAAAGACACGTCGAACAACTCACATTCTCGGATCATTTTTTCTTACATTCACATTGTTTCTTACATTTTCTGACATCACACCTGAGTCCAGTAAATGTAAAACAGTAGTTTGGAAGAAAGAATACTTTCTCTACAAAGTCTTTTCTGAGCGAAATGGCACGTCATATCATACTTCGAACACAGCCCATGCATAACTAACCCCATCTCCGTTGTTGCCCAGAAGTCATTTGGCTCCCTGAATGTACTGACCCCAGTCCTCTGAATAAGTCATTATGAGAGACTTTCAAGGAGAGACTCTTGAGATTCAGCAAAGTACTTACAATTCTTCAGGAAAAGCAAATACAAGAGTGCTGATCAGTCAGACTGGGAACTACGGAGGGAACATTCACGCGGAATTCAGGGGGAGAATTGAGGGCGTTATTGCGGTCAAAGGAGACCTTCGCAACTAACTGTCCTATGTACCCAGTTTAACCAGGCCATAAGAAGTAAATGTTAACAAAGTTTCCACTTCCGTATTTTCTTTGAACTCTCATTTTACAGATATTTTTGCGCAGTGCGCTATCGCTTATAACCAAATAAACGCTCAGTCAGTCAATTATTAGAATAGGATTTTATTTGTAAGTTCACTGCATGCCTTGATTTTCCATTATGTCTATTTCGGGAAACATAGTGAGTGCTGAGATTAAGAACCTCATCTAATGCAGATACGGTAGACTTTGATACCGCAGATTTTAACGTTGATACCGCTGACATCTTGTTTGGTGCTAGCTAATATCCTATCGATGCTAAATGAAGAAAGCGTAATGCAGATGGCACTTTCATGATATTTTAACCGAAATGCTGAAACGTGTTTGCAATTAAAAAGGTACAGGGTCAAATATTTGGCTGTTGCCAGCCAATTGGGGTTTGATTCTGACTGTCGTGAAACAGTCATACTTAAACGACGGTTTTTGGATGCAATTCATTTAGTCCGTCTGCAAAAATAGCACTCCCCAAAAAGCGGTGGCTTACGTAGCATGAATTTTTTTATCGTCGCTCAACTAAAACCGAATTACATTTTTTTTTAAAAATATACAGAAAAATATTTTGCCTTGCTTTAGGTCTGAAGATATTTTATCTTCTTTAAGTTTTTTTTAGTTTTGCAGGTAGATTTTAGCTCTTGCTTCATTTTTAACCCGGCCATTACACTTGCTTTTAGGGCTTCAAATGCAGGGAAAATGATACGTTCCTCTGTGCTATCACGAAGATACCAGAGAAGAAGCAAAAAGTTTAACGATGAATATTGACATTACTAACCGGACAGATCAAAGCCATGTAAATGGACGTGTCACGGTTACAAACTTTTAAAGAACGAAAGCAAGCTCTCTTCGAGTTTTGAATTTGGCGATGTGATTTATTACCAGGTAAGCACTGAGCGGATACTTTTGTTCATCTTCTCAGTAAAGTACGTTCGAATTTATGAGGGCATCGAAAATCGGTGAGAAAAGTTTTATTACGTAAATCGTCATTTTTTCGAGACTGCGACTCTTACATGCGGCCGGAAATAAGCGGAATCAAAAGCCAACACGCTGGTCTGTCGGGATTACGCTGAATGATAACGAATATTGCAACCTCACCTACGTAGGTGAGGTTGTAACCATTTTTCATCGCAAACACTTTTCAACACGCCATCTACTGCAATTAGTAGCTGCTCAATCTGACCAGGTTGGGTTTCCTCGTCATTCACATGCGTACAGCAGATAGCCTAACATGTGAACTGTTGTAATCAAATCCACATGTGTAGTATGGCATACATTTGGTATTGTTATTTATAATTTCTTAGTTGGTTTGAGGCACACAAAGCTAAAAGATGAGTTCATTTAAAAACTGTTTTATGAAAGGAAGGCAGGTCAGATTTGGTCGAAATCCGACACGTCTTGATGTCCAGGCACTTTCTTACACTACTGAAATACGCGGATGGGACTTAATGGTCATGTGCGTTGCGCCATAAAGGAATATAAAGACAAACAACGAAAGCTTGAAATAAATCTCTTTTAGAAGCGGAAAATCATTTCTTATCCGTGGAAATCAGGCGAAGGCAGGAATGAGGAATAACATAGTTTTCAAGAGAAGGGGCAAACTCAATTTTTAAAATTCTATTTTGCGCATTTGATGACGTTTTGTGCCATAAAAACACAGTGATAAACTTGCTCGACAGCAGTTTGTTTTGTCACCCGACAACATGCTGCCAGTTTTCTTTGTGACGCCGTTTAATATGCCCAGACAATTTTTATTTACAGTCACTATGAACGGGCACAGAAACTAGCAGCGGAAATGTTGTCGCTCGAGTCGTTGGCAAATATTTTCAGTATTAGTAAGGTCACTCGGTGGCGAATTACTAATGATAGGAACGTGCCCAGAAATATCCTGGGTGGACGAAAACGGTCCACAAGTAAGCAAGAAGACGATTTTATTCGCCATACACTAAAAAAGTACCATTCTACGCCCAGTGAGATCATTCACAAGAGAAAACTGCCGATGTTCTCTGCGATCATAATTAGGAAAATCATGCAGTGAACGGCTGTGGTAGTGGCGTTTTAAATAGGAAACTTATCAAAAGACGTCTTCAGTTTGTTGAGATTTTTATTGATAACATGATCTCATTCTGGATAAACATTTACTCCTACGGTGAGTTCTTATTTTTAAATAAGCCTATGAAGTCATAGTCATATGCGCGGACGGAAGTCCTCAAGAACTGTCGACGGTCAATGACATGGATGATTATTAAATTCTGAGGGCGGCCGGCTTTACGGCCGACTACGGACACCATTGACAACAAGGTGTTCGTCAGTGTTGTGAAGAATGTCTTCGATTACAACGACATCAACTAATGCCGCATGGATGCGACAGTTTTACGCGACAATTCTCCCGTCCATCGCACTAGAGAGGCATGCAAATGATAGCGCTTGTAAACGTAATCTAACTTTTAGGCAATAGCCATTCTCTCCTCATGCTGCCTCCATTCAACTTTTATTCCTACTAACAGTTCGAATCTTAGCGGTATCGAAAGTCGTTTTGTACTTATAAAAAGAAAGTGGTGTAAGGCAAAGAAAAATCTTTTAACGCACACGAAACTTAATTTTATGCTATATAATCTCACGGAACACTTAACAACCTGGCTATCTCCCTGCCTGAGGGGCCTTCTGTTGAGTTAGATATAAATGGACAAGCTACAAATTGCCTATTTATGTACTTGTTACTATTTTCCACCACTTTGCCCTTCTCATGCGCCACCTTTCCTTATGTACCCTTAAAGCTAGCCCTTTTTAAGCGATATGTAATATAGACACCTTTTGAAACTGTGGTTTTCAGCGAAATTGAATTATAATTTTGTCAATAAATATCTATTTACAAACCAAATTATACCTTCATTTTAAGAAAAGTCGTTTGTTTACTATTATGAGACTTTGAGGAACGTGTCATGGGCGGATCTTGCATTGCCGGGATTGTTTGTTATATTCATGACATTTCACAATTATCACACCTACTGTACATACGAACGTACAAAAATGGTATCCGAAATCTCTTGAAAATGTTGACAACACTAATGATTTGTGAGGTTAAACTAATCCTTTCACCCCAATTAAGCTCAACTAAATAAAGGACAAGAGAGTTGCTAACCCATTTCTGACACGTAGCCTGATGGGATGTCTACCAATAATTTGCTTTCACTTGTAAATTTGATTCACCACTATCGCCAACTCTCGATACGACGGTGAATCGGCCGCTGTCATGGCAACTGACCTAGCTGTACACCATCCGATGGCAAAGAATTGTTATTTGCTGCCACTCCTTACCACTTCTTCTCGTTTGTCTCCCATATGCCGTACCTCCACAGCGCTGCGACATTCCATCCTGTAAAATTGGCCCTTCTCCGTAAGCATCCTCGTGTGCATACGTACGCGAGGGCGTCAAGCATCTTATCCTTTGGACGGAAATGCGGTCAAGCAAACCCAGATACACAGTCAGAACGTGTCAGGGTGCCTCTGACCAATAGTGTTACTCTCGTAGAAGTGATGCTCCCCTTTAGCTGAGGCGGGAAAGTGGGGTGGCGGCTAACGCAGGGAAAAACAGAACAGGCGACATTTAGTTTAAATTCGTGTCTTTGTGCACCTGTCCATAGGTATCCTTCAAAGGCGCTTGTGAACAGTTCTTGTGGACGCATCGATACTAAGTACTTGAGCCGGGTTCCGCAAGGGGCATAAGTGTAAGGAGGATATCCGAGTACGCATTTGGCACCATAATGACATACACCACCTACGCACCACTTGCACGATCGAAAAAGGGGTTGTCAAATACTTCGCTTGGTGTGCCCAAAGTTCGCATGGTGAAATAAACTAAAACATCGAGGGGGGCAATTATGGATAATAATCGAGAACACTCCGTCAATAGTCAAAGTATCCCGCCACAGGAGTTGGCTGTAAGTGAATGATGGCACCGACAATTCGTGCGGCATAACTTCGTCCGTGAGTCCATACTCACCATGTTTATGCGGACAAACGAGATGAATAGTAAACTTTAAGAAAACTTTGCGTTTGCAGTACGAGCGAACCAAGCTCGAAAATGTACGGTTTCTCACAAGATATTGATAATTTAAACAACGCCTAAAGGCCAGGTTACCTGTGCACAATGCACTGCAAGGCAGGTAATGCCTATCTGATGCACGCCATCTAAACGCGCACCAATTGAGTTGGAGCTGCCCTATACTAAGAAGATAGATTTACTTTGGTTGTTTGAGACTTGAAAGGACTTCTGTCCAGCTGTATGGCACATAGCCTTAGAAAACCGAGGCTCTCAGGTCGATGCATGCCTGGCCTCATCCTCAGGTCTCAGTTCCTAGTGGGCTTGCAGGGTTTTGGCTTCTAGATAATACTTGCTGGCGAAAAACGAAACGAAGACCTGCAGTATTGTGCTGTTAGTTTCACAAGATTTATAAGAAAATGGATTCGAAACTGCTGACCCCTCCTTCCAAACACTTCAGCGTATATTTACGCTTATCAGTCATCAACAGGGCAGTGAGTGAATGAGATCATGCGTACTGAAAAACCGACCAAGTCTGGCGAATATACAGGAACACACATTAAATCTTTGTTTACGCATGCATGGAAGCGTCGTAAATGTATACACTAACCAGGCGAGGCCTCAGATAGGTTAAGACAGAGCAGTTAGTGGATGTGTTGATGAGGCGGTCTGACAACCGGTCGTTCCTGTCATTATGGCTGCAGAGTCTGGCCTTACTGGCTTGCCGCAGGACCACGCTCGGCACGGCTGGTGCATACGTGACGACCACGAGTGCACGTGTGTGAAGGCCCAGAAAGCGGACACGTGTCCGACCGGTAGGTGCTCTCTCACTTTCAACAACGCTAAGGATGTCGTTCCGCCACTATGTTCACCCGAACCAGACAGGCGTGTTCATTCACGAGCGCGGCGCTATGTGGTGACTTGGGTCGTGGGTTCTGGACAGTGGCTACTCATTCATAAACAGCGTTATGACCGTCCAATAGGTACAGAGGAACAAGCGGCTGACAGTTTAAAGACAGACTTTAGTTTAAAAACACTCCCGACTAATTGAGCATAGAACCGCTAGTTAAATGAGCCGGAGAATAGGCAGCAAAATTTATTCTTTCTAAGGATGTAGAATGCCTAATCCAGTCAGTACTAGGCGTGATGGCAAGAATAAAAGAAGTAAATTACATTCTTGAGGCAATATTTCCTCGGGATGAAATTTAAGCAGGCATAGAAAGCAGAATTTATTGGAACCAATAGATTTCACGAGGCTTATCAACTGCAACCTGTCATTGCATAACACAGGTAAGAAGTGAGAAAGATACAGTGGTTTGAACTTCCACATAGAAAATCAATATAAAACAGCAAGGTCATCACATACTGCGCGTAGACTAATCGATCAAATGGTAACTTGAAAACGCAACGTTTTTATTCCTATGTTGCGTTTTCAGGTTACCATCTTATTGCTTAGTCTGCTGTTTTATATTGATTTTCTCTGTGGAAGTTCAAACTCCTATATCCTTCTCACTTCTTATCTGTGTTATGCAATGACAGGCTGCAGTTGATAAGCCGTCGCGAAATCTATTGCTTCCAACAAATTCCGCTGCCTATGCCTGCATTAAACTACATTGTAACTTGTTTTGAGAGCGCGGGAGCGTCGATTGCAAAAGAAGGCAAGGACTCAGTATGCCACGATGATTTGGCTTTGTTCCCGAGTGCGGTCACATACTGCGTCCTTGCCTGCGTGATACCAACGGAAATCTCCCAATGCGGGCAACTGCTTGAATTCGGCTCCGTATTAGTTCAAGGCAGAGTGTCCTTGTAGGAGATTCAGTGCAAGACAAAGCCATTGCCAATCGCTATTTTTGTAGTACATAAAATCCCCCTTAGTCCTGTTACCATATAAATGACAACATTCAAGATAACAATCAAGCGATGTGGACACAGAATCTTGGGTTCATTTGGCTATTTGTAGCACGTTAGAAATCAAACTGCCAATTTAGGTTACGTTTAGTATGTTACCTATTGTTCAGTGGATTACTAATACGTAAGGTCGCAGTAGAATCTGTTGGCGAAAGGAAAGTTAGCCGATCGTTCCGAATAGTTGCATGCCTATGGGCAGGCTGTGGTCTGTTGAAAGGGCTGTTCTACGAGTTTGGTACCTGGCCTAAAGTAAAAACCACCATTAATAAGATGCGAGTGTCGCCTCTTCTTCCTTCTCCCTATTTTCCTCCTCATTTTCAAAGAAAACTGGTTAAATATATGTGACAGTAGCTTAGTCTGGTGTCAGTCCAAATGCTGAATAAATTCAATGCCGACAAAACTAATTCGATCCCTCGGAGACATGTGGTTTTTAAAAGGAAGCACTTTCCATGAAAATTCGTCATGCATTTTCGTTTTTCTGATTTAGCGTGTGAGAGAGGGCATAGTTCGTCAATTAGTCAGAACGTCAATCAACTCCGGTTTACCGTTGCCCTTTGATCGGAGCCGGCTTGCGTAGATATAAAGCCCGTATTCATCAAATTTAACTCGAGTTCATTAGATCGGACATTATTTTTCTCACATAATCTCATATTTATATTTTTGGCTAATAACTTCCCTTGACGTCCTCCGTTTCGCCCTCTTTTCGCAACCCAAAGGCTACTTTCCATAACGGACTCCTAGAACAAACCTATATTAAGATTAGAGAGACATGCATGCTCAGCTTTCAGCCGATTTTGTCTTAGAATACAGCGGTGGGTAAAGATGAAAGCACAAATAAATGGTGCCATGATATTTAGAGACCGCGCTTTCATCGCGCATGTGGATGTTGCGCAGGTGTAAAACAATGTCCACGATTCACGGTAACCGCATAAAGACCGCGTCCGTGAAGTCGTAGATTATGGAAATGGGGAAGAAAGACGCCTGCTAACACGTTCTGGCCATCAAAGCAGTGTGACAATAATAACTTAATGCAACTATCTGCACAACTCCAAATTCTTTTTCGATATTTTTGCGGCCTTGACTTGGAGTTGAAGGAGCACCATGCCACCATGTAATGGGTTTCATGTGTCAGCTTTCGATTTATGGCATTTTTATTGATCGCTAATGTCTTTGTCAAGGAAATGCTCAGATCCTTGTTTTGACTGTTTTGCCAGATTTTTGTTCCCTATTAGGCCTCCACATACCGTAAACATAGTCCCTTAATTACGCAACGTGCGCGGGCGACTGAAATGGAGGTCTCGAAAATCTGGTTGCATCAATAGACTATTACTCGTATGAACCATCTTTGCCTTATTCAAATGTCCTTGGAGAGAAGGATATTTTAAACTTTATTTTCCAATTTTACGAATGACCTTTTTAATGAACATATGCCATTGAAGGCTCACCATTTTCCATCTATGACTTATGGGAATTAAGTTGGTGTGCCATCATGATCGCGAACGTTGATAAGATGAATGAACTCAACATATTGAATTTTTTCGTTGTAAAAAACCGTCGGCTGGCTGAGTTATTGAGATAAGTTGCCATTTTTCTTTCCCATTCGTTTCTAAATATTCCTCCGCTGTTACACAAGAAACTGATAATTTATCACATAACTCATTCACGCTAGTTCACGATGACGTCCATTAAGAAGGTAAGACACTTCTTAAGGAAATGAGACTCTTGCATTAACTTTTTAGTTCAGTCATAACCAAATTTGCATTTAACGGTTGTATTGGGATAGGCTTTTAGATATTTTTGTTAAACATCTACTTGTCTTAAAACAAAGGCGTAACCTGTCCGTCCAAAATAGTACAAACAAGATGAAGGAGGACTTTAATAACCACCCCTCTCTTATTTATCGTCGGTAGTCAGGCCTATCCCAATATTAGGTCAGAAATACCTGGAATTCGGCCATTGTGTTTTACCCTAGAGGGGCAAAAAGCTCTGAGTTATGACTGCTAATGAAGGACAGGTAAAATTCGAATGGCCGTTTAACTATCCTTCTTGTTGTTAGCAATAGTTTTTTATTACAGACTGCTAATAATCGTGCGAGCGGCTTTGAGTGCACTAAGCATGGAATTAAAATCTCAAATCCTACATCCGTCTCGGAGTCAGTTTAAATCGATAAACGCGACCCCTTATGACTTTAAGGGGACGTGGCTCGGCTGGTGCAGTATTAAGCCCAGCGACCAACTGAATCTAACTTCGGACTACGGGTCTATCAGATAGAACGTACTGACGGCAGTAAATAAGCTGTAAACGACCACTCAATCCCGCGCCTTTGTTACCATTGCTTCTTTCCGTATTGCCTGTCGTTACAAAGCCTTCTGTTGGGAAATCTTGGTTACAACTCTGAGGAACGGAAGTGCGCACTCTATCAATAAGATCCGTGACGCGCCACTTGAGTAGGAACTAATATTCCTGACCGCAGCCAACATAGAAGAAAACCTGTATATTGTTTTCCGAGCTCTTGAACTAATGCCCTACGGCAGATAATTCCGGTTATTCAGGCTGGTAGTTATGCATTGGCGACGGACCAAATCAAATAAGGCGGAAAAAGCCAGTTCAGCATTCCTACTCTTCGTGAGTAATCATTTCACTCTTATTGTCTGCCGCTGCTAGGCCGCCTGAGAGTCCTGCTTGCATGTGTTTTTTTGTCTTGGGAAGCTATGAGATCGGTGAGTGCTCTATTCTGTACGCATATATATACATATTTCCCACCTTCATCTTACCTATCTCAACTGATGACGAATTGTTGCCCTCAACTTAACAATATATGCCCAAGTTCTCAACACCACACTGGACAAAAGCAACCGAAACAGAGTAGTAATTCAAATATGCAAATTGTGAGGTGGATGGCATGTGACAGGTCCGCGCCTTTCGGTTCGTTTGAGAAAAATTCCCTTTCATTAGCGTCAGCTTGAAGTCGCTCGCAGCTTCAAATTCCATCACGAAGTGACAAACACAAAAGCCACAACCTTGGTCCTAAAGTAATAACTAATCAGCTGACTCTAACCCCACCAGTCGAGTTAAGTATTCTCAACCCACCACCTAGATACCTCCAAAGTAGCAACCAAGTTAATTTAAAGAAAAGGCCTGTGTAAAATCCAAGAATTAAAAAATTCAAGTGCGAATAAGGATGATCGGATGGGATTCGAGTTTAAAAATACATAATAGACCGACAAGTTCCAGCTTATATATCCACTAAGTTAGGTAAAATAAGGGTCTAAACGCTGGATCTAGCCTATCATCTATTACAACTACTGGCTCGGGCCAGTGAATACCGTCTGACTGGCAGTAAGGGAAACTTGATACCACTCACCTCATCCTGTCGTAGAGTCACTGTTTGACCGCCCTGTTTCAATAGTTCCACATCTGGCCGCACTGCACCACTTGGAGTCTGCTTCACGGTCTCCACGATCTTGTCTGGTGTAGTGTTTGGAAAGGAAAGCAGGAACATACGTTAGAACAAAAAACTGATTCAGGAAAAGGACAGAATTGGCATATATTCAGGGGTTGGAAATCGCAATGTGCGCTCAAGTTACGCACGTAAACAGGGCCTGTAAGTGATTTTCATGACACACTTCCCTGCTGGGTGCTTGCCCTACTTAGTGCGTGGGCCGCGATAACGGATGGGCACTCGTAGTGTAAGCTAACGTCAAGCATGACGCTATCTGCATGCGCGTGTTCATGCGTTCCGTTAGTCTGGTGAAATAAGCGTCCGCCTTCTCTATGACGTTGACGTCCCAAAACAACTGCTAAGACAACCGCAGGAACGTAAGCCAGCATATAACCCCTGAAATACTGTTCCACTCGCTCGAAACGCAGTCACTCTTCCCTCCATTGTGGGGCGGGGGAGTTTGGCAAGAGGGGAGGATAAGAGGAATGGGAAAAATTTAGTCTCAGTCTGTACGCGCGATGACTTCACTTTGCGTGGCCAGCTCAGCAGACAAAAGGCGTCCGAATGTGACGGTCGTCTTGGTCTTAACTGAATATAACTCGTACTCGATGGGAAACTATCAGTTTTTTGTTTTAGGGATGCATGTCTTTTGCTCAGGAAAGCATTTTAGCACGTGGGAATTATATATGGGTTTATTTTGACATTAACATTGGTGGTGCTGTGGCATAAAACTTGAAAAGGGACCTGTATACTGCATCATATGGACTTTGAGTACAGTCGTAACAGAAGAACTGGCTCTGGGGAGAGATATGGGACTGACGAGTTCGGGAGGTCGACACACATAAAATCCCAAAGATTCACTTCATGCAAGTTACTATGTTGTAAATTTCCATTTATGATACGGCATCCGCGGCAACCGAAGTGTGCGAATGTCTGCAGTAAACCGGATGCTAAATATGAAACCTGTTTTTGGCAGAAAGAAAAATACGCTTCACATACTGGAACGTAAGAGCTTCTTGACATAGTAACATACTGCCTACTCGTTCAGCCTTTGACGCAGTACAATGGGCGCTTGCCAGACCATGTTCGGCGCAGCATCAAGGTATTCGACGCCGAGAAGTTCCATCACAGAACGTCACCGAGAACTCTAGTCAGCCTGGTTTTACAATCGTCCTGGATGATCCGACCAGGACTTCATTCTGCGCTGTGTACAGTTAGCACTGAGGATTCTACCTGCATACCCGCAAGTTGTGGTCGTCGGCGCCTGATGTCGAGACCCTTTCCAGCGTTGTTTACCGAGGATACTCAAAAAGAGGTTTTCTAAGAAAAACTTCGGACAAAGGTTGGATGCGTCCCAATGAGTGGCTTCATCATGACCCATCGGAATTCCGAGAGGAAAAGAGTGTACACCTATGGGGCGACTTCATGGCCACTTCACAAAAGGAAACCAGTGCACGACTGCTTGCCAATTTCACTGCGCCGGGTCGATTAATCGTTCCAAACACCTACGGCACTCGCTGCCCAGCCGATTATCGAGTGAATACCTGTCTAAGCCCGCTGGATGAGGCCCATGCTAAACTTTCACGTAATTTGAAGTGCCCGCAACGGCTGCAGGAGCGGATACGACACAAATCGTGCCAATGGCAAAGCTAGACACGGTTCGGTTTACGTTTTGTTTGGAAGATACAATCTGTGCGGTAATGCAGCATGTGACCTAATTAGCGCAAAGTGCCTAGATTAACGAAAAGTCGTTAATCGCTCGGAAACCAATCCAAACATACCCGACAAGACGCAAAAATAGTGGTCAATGATCTCCAGTCAAATAAGAGAGCAAAATGAATACTTAAAGTACTATTTCGTTGGTTAGAGATGAGGATTTTTCAAGAAACGCGGAAGTGCCAAAGACGCGAAAAATCGTGTCCAATGAGTCAATGCCAAGTTTAGAAGTACATGCAGCATGTCCATGCCAACAATTAAATAAATGTCACAACATGGGTATAATAACGTTTAAAAGTGTCAGATATACATACATTTTGAGTAAATGTCCTCCAATAATTACTGGTTCGTGAAGTGTGCCACACGATTAGGGGCATACCTTTTAATTATAGGTTTCAAAACTACTCCGTTAGCGTGAAATATAAGCTTCCAGATGTTGCATTTTTCGAGAGGCAACTGATTAAGGTGAAGAAGATTTCGCTTGGTTTTGATGACAGAAATGCCATAGGAATATATACTTTACATAAGATCACGTGCTGATAGGCCGGCAAGTAACTAATGAATTCAAAGTAAATTAACAGATGCAATCGTAAGCAAACTATTTGCTCCGTATTAGGATAGCTTTTTTCCAGTAAAATTTCTGTTTAGTTTTGACCACGGTGGGGTCCGCTAAGTCACACGGTGCCCTATAAATGTCACCAAATACTTTGCCGTCTTCCATGTTCTTAACCGACTGCCCAAAAACGAAGATTCTATAGTTTGTATGTATCAGGACCTTCAAAATGGCATATTTCGCGAGTGCAGATACCAAGATCGCGAGTTATTTGGCATCTTTTTACGCATATAGCCGTTTGGGTCATATTTGTAGACTTGCCAACTACTTAACCTCAATGCCGTCATATAATAATCGCTCATAGCGAAGGTCAGAGGTCTATGTGTTTATTCTCGATTAAAAACCTTCGCTAAAGAGTTGAATCTGTGAAAAGTACTTCAATGTGACATTTAGCTGACAAATATCCATGTAATTTATTTTTTCCAAGGTAAAACGTGAAAAAATTGAATCTTTGATCCGCTTTTTCACCTCCTTGAAAATATCTGACATTTTTTGCCGCAGACGAAAGAACTCACATTCTTTTCAAACCGAAACCACTTTCGCTATCTTAGCCTCCTTGTAGATTTTGTTGCACGATTATAAATGGGCTAGATCGCAGTTGGTAGCCAGGACCCGTATTACAGGTGACGGGGGGGGGTTGTTTACGGGCGCTATTTTGTGGGGCTCCATAATCGCATCTGACCCATTTGGCTTCCGTCTTACGTTTGAGGTTAGGATCAGGGTACCGATTACTGGTTTCCGATTTTCGGGTTAGGGTTGTGCCTTTAGGCTTAGGTTTTCGGGTTACGGTTAGGGTTTGAGAGTACGATTAGGTTTCATTCCAGTTAAGTTTTCCAGTTACGGCTATACCTAAGGGCTACGGTTACGTTTACGATTTCGGTTAGGGTTAGCGTTAAGATTAGGATTAGGGTTAAGGTCGCCGTCCGCTTCCCCATTCCTGGCTACCAACTGCGATCTAGCCTATAAACGTTCCACTGAGTGGCTGTATAATTATTCAAATATCGCTCGAACTGGGAACGTTGTGCCAGTTCAGTTTCTAAATTATTCTGCACAAAAAATTATCATATACTTAAATTTTAGGACGACCATTTGGTAGTGAGCCTTTTCACGGTTTCTTGTGTAATGTCTGCGAATGAGAGAGAAATATGGGTATGTTAAGACAAAGGATTACCTGTTGGCGCTATCATGACCTTCTAAGGCATAAAATCGCACAGATTTACAAACATGCATTTTCAAATCGAGATACCGTCTGCTTTTCTAAAAAGGCATGCTAATTCACTTCCTGGTCCACTCGACTTACAAGGGGCAAAAATCCAGTTTCCGAGTGGGCGATGTTTCGCTCCGTATGCTTTCAGTTTAGATCACTACCTCTATTTAGACAAGTACGCGCAGATTCATAGACCTGGCCTAAGACAGCTAATATCACAGGAAATTGGTCGAATATAAGCCAACCTAATTTAAGTTCACATTTGCAAACATTTTGCCTTATAAAATTCATTAGCAGCATATTCTTTAACAAAAAGGACATTTTCCAGAAGAGGTTAGGGATATATGTAAAATGTACAATGTTTTAGGTGTCCTAAAATGGTCATTTCAATTTTTGCCATCATGTTACATGAGTTAAGTCACCTACTGTAAGAGGTCCAACGACTCAAATATTCTTGCGGCCATCAGCTTCTGGTCGGCTGTCCCCAACCCCTGACGTTATTGCCTCTGCGGTCTTTTTAATAGAAGACAGATGGTTTGACCTGTAGCATACTCTCCAGGGTGTGCAAGGTCACAAATAGGCGTCGACGCGAGGACTGGGTCTCCGGTAAAAGGATCCGATCGGTTGATAGACGCAAGGCCTGCTTGCCACTATGGCGATCCAGGAATGAGGGACTGACGTTGTGCAGCTACGTATTGTAAACGACACGACCACAACGATTTCTGGAGCAGAACCGCCTGAAGTATGCCATGCTACTCAGGCAACAGTGATAGAGAAAGACCGTGCTGTTCTACATCTCCCTCAAAAACCCAAAGTGAGTGACTGGTTCGACCGTCGTTACCAAATATGTCCACGATGTCCATTTACACTCGAAATCTATACTATGCTGAAGCAGGTCACAGTGCCGTCGTCAGTTCCACTGATGACCATCGTGTGCCAAACAGTAGGGTGGATGCAGGGACGGTGGTCACTTACTTCGTCTGTTTCGAGACATTGCTTGCGCCTTGGTGGTAAGATGAACTAAGCAAAGCTTGCGAACCCACCCCGCAACTAAATGACTGCTTACTTACTGCGGTCTCATCCTTTTCGCCCAGAACAACTTCCCTCAATCTGATGGCCCCCTTTTGGTAACCCTATGCCCAATAGACTAAAATAGGAATGTCAGAACTGTCGTCCTCAAGTACGTTTGACAATGACATCGTGACCCTCAACATAACCAGTTGCTTTGACTTTTAAAGTGTAACATGGCAATATTCACAAAAATTGATCAAGAATAACTAGGTGCGGCTGATGAAGCAGTGTGGTTTCTGGGTAAATAATGGGTCACTTCGGAATGCCTGGAAGAGAATTTGAGTTCGGTGACAAGCCTAACGGCCACTTACAAAGCCATTTATTCTGGTCTGGAGATATGCGTGTGATTCAAATTATTCTGAATTCCTGTAACAGCCACTGTTTTGGCGAGTCCATATTGGGTAATATTTTAAAGCTGGTAGTTGACGTGATCATGCTACCGCCCTCCCCAATATTATTGCGCTCGTAATAGTAGGAGTACTCTTGATGGCAGTAGCGGTAGTAGTTGTGGTGGACGGCTCAGGGATCCTCATCCATTCTGCTATGTAACATGGCCGTTATCCCAGACTCCTACGGTGGTACACGCAAGACTTCATTGGTTTGCTCTGAAGAAACCACATCTAACATTCTTTTTCTTGTTTTTTACCATCTGCGCGCCGGTTACCAAACGGAAATCCTGTCGTTGGAACCCATAAACTCTAGCGCAAAGTCAGCTCAAGGGCCAATTGCTCTTTTTTGGCCGGTGGCTTTGAGTAGGCCATCAAAATCCCGACGACTAATGGTCCTTGCAAACAGCTACTGGTCTCAAATACTAACTAGGACCGGCCACACATGGTCGCATTAATCTGTGATATGTCTTAGGCCCTCACCCCAACAGCGCCAGCAGATAAGCCAGCAGATGTCGGCTCATTTAGCACGCCAAATTGACTGCGCGCGGGCGACAAGGTGATGGATAAAAGGACAGAGACGTAGATGGTAGGTGTTAGCCATCGTCCCCGGTTTAAAGTTGGCTTTACGCCCGCAGAGAAGAGGTGGAAGTGCGCGGGGGGGGAGGTGAGGTAAGAGCAACAGTAGCAGTCAAAAGTTGGTCAGCTTGCTGTTGTCTGCACTGACCGACGGTGCACGGTCATCGAAACTTCCAACTGACATGTGCACGTGCTAGAAAATTAAAATAATTTCAGGCGACTTTCATACTTCTCCATCTGCCACTTCATGCCTGACTGTGGAATAATAGCTTCCCTATGCAAGCTTATTTGGGCATGCTGTTCGTTCCAGCAAGTCAAGTTAAACTAAATGCTCGAGTCTCTAACTGAATCCTAATGACATTACTGGGCAACCTGTCGGACATGTTGGAAGAGTTTACGAAGCCCTTGCGGTTTGCCGAATAGGTCCTAATATTCTTTTAATGTATGCCGGGCTAATCGCTTTCTTCGGAAATATTCGACTGTTTATGCTTGACTTAACTTACTCTTACATTAGGAACCTGCCAGACCATGACTGCATGAGGCATTGTAACTTTGTTTGCGATGGATTATGAGTTACTTATTAGGACTAGTTTAGTTTTGTATAGGTCAGTAGCAAATTATAGTTGACAATGGAGCTCAAAGACAGACAGACAGACAGCCCGGCGAATGGAGGAGGAAGATTTAGGGTGTTTTTTGGGATTTGTCCGTTTTTCGGGCTGGTAATCAAATGCCTGCGGCGGGATTCGCCTAATCATTCCAAGACTTGAGCCGCCTTGGGGGTTCCAACTTTATTTGTTATGCTGATGGAAACTACGTTTATGCTACTTTCTGGTACCTAGAAAGCCCTATAAAGCACCCCCTAATAATGGATCTCACAACTATGAGAACTGCAATAGATTGCAGTTTTGTGAAGTCGTCGAGATCTCTCGCCATTCCATTCCTCCTATTGTCCATCGGTCAACGGACGGACGCCATATCGTTTGTCAGCATTTATTATTAATGTGCAGTTTTCTGCCAAAGATGGGCCGCATATGGGGTTGTGTCATGAACCTTACCACCCATCAGTCCTTTCGTCAAACCAAGGTTTTGCCTGTCGGGGTTGGGATTGGATTGATCTCTGTGGAATGGACAAAGGCCGCAGTCTTCGGTAACATGATACGTAAACGAAGTACAAAAGCAGACGGACAAAGTGACAAAGGGAAAATGCAACGGCAAAACCGTCTGAATTTGACCTTTTAACTTCGGGTTGTTTTCTGTGTAAGAAGATCACTTATCCTAAGGGCTTCTGCAGTTGAAACTGCTGAAGCGAGCTACGGATGTATTCACCCAAATTCAATAAAAATGGCGCATTTTATAAACTTGTCTCAGTTTACACGATTCAGGAATATAATTTTGGATTTTCTACACTTTGCCCCTCATGCCTGTTCTGAGCGTCAGACAGTTTTCATCAACTGCTCCAGGATGTTGGAGATTTGGGAGTTTTGGGGAAGGTTTGGCCTTTTAAACTAAACAAATTCTTCAGCCCTTGTGAGAGGGGGTCTTTGATCCGGCGGACACAGCTCACATTTTCTTTCATCGATTTTATGCGAACAAATATCTAGGGTAATGGAGAGAGGACTTTTTATTTCAACTTGACGCCTAATCAAAAGATTGAGTTTAATTCAACTTCATGAGTTCCTCAAAAAAGTAACATACTGGACAAAACCAACGGTCCTCTAACACATTGATGACCTGCCAAAGTGTACCTGGTTCACAGGCAGAGCAAGAAGATCGAGATAGGCAGCTACGGACTTGAAATCAGTATTGTCAGTGAAAAGCATACACTGGCTCGTCCTTTTGCTGGAGGAAGTTAATACTGCGTATGCAAGCGAGACAGAAGCAGTACGTTTTACGTCTACAAGCCATCACTGTGAGAGGACAGCAGAACTAAAAGCATCTAGTCGACCTAATCTTTCCTCTCCCCTTCAATCCCTCCTTCTGCTCTCTCCTATGCCTCGTAGTCCCAATCGTTGCCAGCCGCACCCAAACCTTTCAGGGCAGATGCAATTAAAGCGAAGCATGTCAAAATTGTCAAAGTGTAGTGTGGACTGAGAAAGAGCATGCTTTTTTCCACCATAGCTGTCGTAAATTACACATTCCGCGAGGAGGGTTGAACGTTACAAACAGCTGACCGTGCATCTGCCATACCTCTGTAAATAGACGTCTTTTATCAGCCACATAATCGAACTCATGGGTTCCTCGTAGGCCCTCCATGCTATTAATCACCTGCCTTAAGCTATGGACCACAAACACAAATTTGCAGTGCCCACAGATTCAGTTAGAAGCTCACTTTACTGCATATTGAATGCTTTAATCTTGTTTTCTAGCGTCCATACACTGTCAGCCCCCTGCTAAAAGGAATTGACGAAAGTGTATGCGACGGTAAATATAAGATATAGGATGCCAATGGGGTGAAGTAGAGAATGTGCTTTAACGAACCTCTTTTCGATTTTCCCCGTAGGAGGCGGCATGATCCGTCACGCATAAGGAAGACGACCAGGAGGCCGACCAGAACAACGATCGCGAAGAAGACAGTCATTCCGATTATGACCTGTTCGACGACGGAGTTTCGACCCCATTCTGGCGCCAACCTCTCCGCTTTGTCGACGAAACGGGCCTCTGCTGCCAATTGCTCAGGATCAGACGTCAACGTGTTTTGGTCCGATGGGACTCGAAGCTTACAGATAAGAAGAAATTACGGATAGAAACATACGTCTGCTTGACAGGTTAAGGAATTTAAAGCCTTTAATGTCACGCATAATGCACTTCTAACCACGCTTATCTAAACATTCATGCCGATGCCAGCAGTGACTCTACTCCTAGAGCAAATAGGAACTGACAACAGGAGGGACAGAGGCAGAAAAGAAATTTCGAAAACAACAAATCACAACCACGAGTAACTTGAGGCGTGAAGGTTACCGGGGCAATTGCAGATTGATCACGTGGTCTAACTGCTTGCGCAGGTCTGGTTTCTCCCTCCGTATGTAAGCTGCTTCCAAGTAACGCAAGGTTCGAGTTGTCTGCACTCGGACAAGTACTCAAAAAGCCGTTTTAGGGTCGACAGCATGACCGTTATCTAACAGGTATTGTTGTTAATATTCCGTCCCCATCTTTCCTATATGATGCTTATGGAACTTTTAAAATGACAGAGTGGAAAGAGATGTGGGGGCCGGAACTAAAAAGGAGAGGATAAAATCGACCAAAGGGGAACCAAGTGGGAAAAAGTCCGAAGGGTAATGAAAAAAAATAGGAAAGAGAGGGGCAACGTGGAAGGCAGTGGGGACAGAAGAAAGTGGCAGAAGAAGAAGAAGAAGAAGAAGAAGAAGAAGAAGAAGAAGAAGAAGAAGAATAAATACTGGCTAAAATAAGAAATACAGCAAATAAGGGAGAGGGGAAACTTATAAGGAAAAATCACTGGTAGTCTAATGCTGATGTACTTCGTTAAGTGGAAATACAGTGATTAGAGTGTGGCTTAACAACATTACAGCTGAATGCTATAGAAATTGGGCACTTGGGCCTCAATGATCACTGTGCTCAAAGAACGCCTCATTTGCTCCGAAGGTCTTAATTTATTTTTTCCATATTTTATTCTGCATGACAGTAAGGTCCGGGCAGGATGAATTCAAAATAGTCGATGTCACCACCCCCTTGTTCGTGCTGGCCTAAGTTGTTCAAATACGTACTGCGGGGTTTCACTCGATCTATGGTTAAATATGTCTGCTTGAAAACTCGGGCAGACACTCCCCATATATGTATGGGTATGGCTGGTTGATGACGGCTAACAAATCAGAAATAGCCACCCGAGTCTCCCTTTTCTTTGTCGGCAATACAGTTCCACCATATTACGCCCTCTGTGCAACTGCTGGCGTGATTCGAGGAAGAGCCCCAGGGCGAAACGGGTCGAGTGAGTTCCGCAACGCGATCGGTCATACCGTTCTCCCGACAGAGGTACTAGTTAAAACTCCCAAACACTGTTCCGCCGATACCCTGCCGCTGCGTGACACGTCTGCGAGGGACTCGGCTCCACAGTGGGTCTCCCAGCGTCCTCTATGCGTTTTCTGATATATGAACTCCGGAGAATAGTCAAACGAATAATTTCAGAAATTATTCAGTGCAGGACGTGGAGTTGAGTATCCGAGACATGACTTTAAATTTCGGGTCTGACCATAAAAAGTCATTTCAGGAATGCTTCTCTGAAATTATTCGCTTGATTGTTCTCTGGAGTTTATATATCAGTAAACGCTGGGGGACAAAATGAGGGGCCGAACTCCTCGCAGCTGTGTCATGCAGCGTCAGAATATCGACGAAACGCGTGCCTGGGGTTTTAGCTAGTGCCTATGCCGAGAGTGCTGTATAATACCTTTACCATTTATATTTCCTACTACTTGTAGTGCCACTTGTTTGTAGAATGGGCATTGTGCGGTTATTTCATAGTAGTTGATTGTCTACGACTCGAATGTTTATTGAAATTTCGGGTATGGCCCTAAAAAGTCATGTCCGGATACTCAACTCCGTGTGCGCCGCTAAGTAATTTTTGAAATTTTTCGCTTGAGATATAATGGCACCAACAAGGACAAGGGAGACTGGTATGGTCATTTCTGGTTTATTGGCTGTCGTCAGGCAGTTGACGGGTCACGCGGGAACTGTGTTGACCCAAGGTGGGAGGAAGATCAGGGTCCGGTACACGTTACTGGGCTGCGCACCCATAATAAATTTCAAACACTTGAAAGGGGATGGCACACCTGGGCGCAGGCCTCAGCCGCACCAGCAACCTGCGTCCCATCCGGTTTCCGGTCTTCCTAACTCTGTCCTGACGCCGGGTTCAGGAGAGTGGGGGAGGAGAGTGTGCGACAGGAGTAGCACAAGTTCACTATTGCTACAAACTACTGAACGCACAGGTCACCGCCCTTGCGCCTATTTTGCTGTGAGGTAGATGTAACGTAAGTCTGCTGCATTATAAACGAATTGGCACACGAGTCACCCTCGCCGGATCCGCATGCTGGGGCAGAATATGAGCGCCGTCGCTTGCGACTGTTAAAATAGCATGCACAATGTCATGAGAAAGTCACAAATATAGCCATAGGATTCCCCGTCCTACCTGGACCTGAAGGTTGGGAAACCGCGAACATCTCGGAGGAAGGCCCCGGTCGCAAGCCTCGATTCCGAGCACATAGGTTGGATGGATGATGGAAGTAGTTGCAATCTGATCCGGATGTCGTCTCTCCCCAGCTTCACCCACGGGATGCCTTTCCGTCTCACCGCTCCATCCGGCCTCTCCGAGGGAGCTCTTGGCGCCGGTCACGGGTATCGTATAAGCTGCCATATTGGCTTGCTCAATGGCGCCCCGTGGAATTTGTCCCTGAAGGTAGAGGAGGCCTGCGAATGGGTCCACGTTAAATATGGAGCCCGTGTTGCCGTCGAAGATGGAGTAGGTCACCTTACCGTTCTCACCCTCATCAGGGTCTATTGCAAGGATCTGAAAACCACAGCAGATAATAGACGCCAATTATCCAATGCAATGAGACAGCATCACGGAAAGTCTAAACTGCCTATCGTAAACAAAACAAAGTCTTTGCTTAGTACTATGAGTACCACCTTAGTGACTTCGATTTTTTCGGACGGTATCGTCCTGCTAGTATTAAGCTCTGATAGCCTACAAATCGCGCCGTCGTGGGTGAATGAGGTGACCAAATTAGTCGGTTTATCCCTAAACTCTGGGAGGGTCAGTATTTTTGAGCAGGTGAAGGTATCTCTGGGAGTTATTTGCTGCAACTTGAGAAAGTGCTGCAAAGGAAGGACGGCGTTTGCAGCACCGGATAAAGCCGACCTAATCTTCGAATTGGCCAACCAGAATGTTCGAGGGAACCGCCGCACCAATTGGCAGTTCCCACAATGCTGAATTATGACTCTGATGCAGGTATTTGTGCATTCATACGAGGTAGGCCCGCCCAGTAACTCGCGCAAAGGCATTGTCGATACTGTTGGGAGTTTTGACGACAAACCATGAAGGTGTTGCTTTTCACTTTCCTCAGAAATTAACTGCTAACTTGGAGTAGATCAGTTTACACTAAGGTTTATGCAAGCAGACCGAAATTTGATGCATGAATATTTGGACCGAAGTCCATCAGCCAGGGAGGGATAACCGCGTAATATTCGTTAACTGCCGACAAGCAGCTAGTAGTATATTTTAGAGTTAGAAAATACGATATTAGCAGTACCTGCGCTATTAATATGGTAACCTCTAACGCTAAAATAAAACCATGGAGTGTTAAACAGCAAAAGGTATGAATATTTTTCTCTGAGGCAAAAGCAATAGACACTCTGGAGGCAGTTGTTTGTGTCCAAAATTGGTTGTAAACAGCCACTGCGTCGGTGTCATTCGCTGCAAGCTCTAGAGCCAAAAGCTTGCAAAGATGTTTCATAACTAAAGTTTGGGTTTGGATGGAATACTATAGCATAGTAGTCAATTAAACAATTCGAAGAAAAGGAATATCCTTACAAACGCATGAACATTCAGCTAGAATGCCTAAAACATTGGTATTGCACGTTGTCTACTACCAAGAACTTGTGCGTAGGTTCCATCTGCCCAATTTGCCGGGCAACCAGACCCACCAACTATTTACAGCATGTTTTGAAGACAACATTGAGAGAACCTGTCATTCTGTTTTTGCTCTTTTAGCGGAGTTCAGGAGATTTCCAGAAAGCCTGGTATTTTCAGAACGCTATTGTTGATGAGGTAATTATTGTAGAGACAGTATTCGAATGGTTTAAAACAGCAGGCTTCTGGCATATGGAAGCGGTGCTTCTCTGGTCAGACTGCACGATGCAGCATGTTCTTGTTATGTAGCTCTGTGGCGCTGACTAAAAACCTCGCAGGCCGTCGGCAGTAGATGATCCAGAAATGGTTATCCCACTCTACCTAGTCTTCGTCGGGATTACTTCTGTAGTAAATTCACCATTCTTCTACTAGCAGGACTTAGTTCAGTTAGACTTCTCAAGCAATTTTGAGAATAAAATTAGGATTTTTCTGTAACTAATTAACTGTAATTATGCCTGTACATCAACGACTCCAATATTATTTAGTTTACGACTTCAGTTAACAAGACACCTAACCGGATTGCGTGGCACCAGACTAGTATGCTCCGCTGGTTATTTAAAGAGCATCTTTCTTCCCCTATATTAGGAGAAGCCATATACACGTGAGTTTCATGAATCAAAATGAATGTCTCAACTCTGGGTGTATTCATGAACAAGGAATAAGAAGAAAACTGGTAGAGCCCGAGCGGTCTGTTAGGAGCGAAAAACAATAACAATAACTTTATCCTCCTGGAGGGCGTAACTAATAATTCGCACGGTTGAAATGTCGCAAGAATGAGGAAGGGGAGCAGTTGACGCCTATTCTGAAGGCATGCTTTCTGCCTGTGTGGCCTCCCCTATTCTTCCTGATCAGCCCCAAAGAAGGATTCTAACTATGGTATTGGGTATGTGGAGTGCTATTAAAGAACGGCAGAACTCTTTGGTCCCTTCTCTGATAAAAAAAGGTTTAAGAAGTTCAGAATTTCTTGAAACTTTAATGAAAGATGACGCTTGAAGGATTCTATTTCTCTTGTCCACTCCGAAGTATTGGAGTGAAGCAGATTAAATCTGAGACATGATTAGCAGTCACAGCCATCAAACCAGAAGTGTCGCAGTGGATAAGGCACGGATTAGCTAGTTAACTACTGCACATGTTGGACTGCTTAGCTTTATTCTGGCAAAAACAGTAGCTCAAAGGATTATTAACGACCAACAGAGGCGCATCATATCAACCAAACCCCCAGGTAAAACGGCAATACATCAATCGGGTTGATTACACCCGATGGTCTTGAAAACTATTCTTGCTAGAGGTGGACCCCAGACATAGCGGCATATAGACACCAACAGTCGGTCGCGCTCCAATCCCGGATGCTGTCACATCCGAAATAAAAACCCGGGCCCAGTAAATAGATGAGCGTTTAAAAGCATTGCTCTATCCACTTGAGCTACCGGGTCTGCCCTCTGTCAACCGTGATCGTGAACATGTAAAGTAACGTGAGAGTGGTTGTAAGATGGAAATATGTATTTCCATCCTACATGAGTCTAGAGCCAATCCAGATGGCTGTGTGGCGATAAGCAAATTGTCGTTAAGGATTGAATGTGCAAAAAGTCTGTCTTCATTCTTCGGTTCTGAGCATTATTACCGGTAGAGATGAAGGAGCTTGTAATGGCTATTTCTGGCTTATTTGAAGTCGTGGATGAGTCAGGCCAGAAGTATCCTAGATTTGAGTTTGGCCCATCTGATCATTTGTTTTAATACGCTACCAGCCGATTTCAAAGTCCAGGCGCGTAATCCATTTTGCAATTTTATCACATATGTGGACGCCTCTCCCATGCAACCAAAAATTGCCTTCACTTACTCGTCAATAAGAATAGACTCCGAATTAAGGAGACTTGAATTACTGCATTAATGGTCTATACCAAATGTCTTGTGTCTTTTAACGTTTACAGGTGATATGGACTCTGCGCAAGTATTCGTTTAAATGAGTTATCACCTATGTTTTTTATTTTTCTAATACCTGCAGGAGAGATCGGCCGGGAATGGTAGTTGGGTCGAGGAGGATAAGGTGATTTGTAGAATTCGGCTGGATAAAAGTGGGACTGTTGTCATTTTCGTCGAGAACGGAGACAACGACAGTCGTAACTGTCGTGTGAACCCGTTCTTTTGGAAAGGACCACCGTGGCCCACTGGCGGAAGTCAGTACAGCAGCATCAGGAGCTGCTGTGGGGTTGGGAACGCCATCGCTCACAAGCACGCGAAAGCTGTAAGAACTCTGGACTTCACGATCCAACCGCCGTCTGAAAGAAGATTGGATGGTTCTGTCTTGTTAGCAACGGATAAAACGTGGATTTGATTTAAAACTTCAAACCCACAATTAGACCCTAAAGATGGCTAAAAAGCCTGCCTACTTCCAGTCGAGCACTCTTAGTCGAGAATCGATTTTTACTCGCGTTTATTCTTGTAAAAAATAGGTTAGAAGATATAACATGTACACGAATCTTAGTAAGTTAACCGAACGGTGTATGTCAAATAGTAATTAAATCCGGTAAACGACGTTGGATGAATATTTAAAAATATCCAATGTTTTCTGAACCAATAGAAATTGTCAATTTTGTAATTTATCTCTAGTAAATTTACCACGTACCAAATACAGGGATTAACAGAGAAACAAATATATAGAACTTGTCTTCTAGTCGCTTGCTCGAATTATGCGAAAAGCACATAGGGTAAGCGCCACAAATCCTACCACTCAGTAGACATCTTCCATCGCTTTGTAGAAAGCTAGTCGGAACGGCCTAATTAAGCCCGTAAATTCCTATGACAGGAAAAGCAACCATCGTATTATTTAAGCGTTCCTGCTTTTTTCCATTTCTAGTAATGAGCAGAATGCTCAAAACAAGTAACAGACCAAAGCCTCCTTCGAATTTAAGTGAGAAAAGATAATTGCGAGCGACTGCAGCCAAACAGCACATTCGCGAAAATGTGGTACACTGAAAAAGTCAGAACACAAGTATCTCGAGAACAGGCTGACTTGTTGACCTAGGTGGTGTTCTCCACTATGACCGGTTCGTTCACGGGCCACCCAATTCTACGGACACTCCTATTTTCCACTCTCAGAGGCAGTCAGCCCAGGACTTGAACACCTAATAGCGGAATGAGTCAGTCCGATTCTGCAGTGCTTACTTTCTGTTAATGTATAGTTCTTTTTTGATGTCATTATCCGAGTTATATTTAACCCTCTGACGTACGCTGTCGTGCTCCTATGCTTCCCTGTTGGTTTTGTAGGAAGGGAAAGCACAGCCTCTCCTCCGGACCCAACTTTGCAAGACATGTTTTCCCTATACTTGAGAGAGAGAGAGAGAGAGCTAAAGGAAATCTTTTCCTGCAGACGCATCGTGCAACGCCGCACAATCGATGCTGTAGTGTGCACACACGGTGCGTGTGTGTCAGTGACGAGGGTGGGGGCGAGCGAGTTAAAACAGTTGTTTCCCGGCCGTCAACAGGTCAGCCACATAATTAGGGGGTCAGTCAGGAAGGCACAACCGCAGTCGAAACCATCGTCACGATGACAGTCTGCCGACCGCGCCAAACACACCACACGCTTGCGCCGAACAGGGGGGCAGTGACTACAGCTGACCGCTCATTTGTCCACTCCGTCCCCCTCCCTCCCACTCCTGTCACCTGCACGTGAGTTATTGCTACCTTCCCTCTCAGCATACCATTGCCACCGTCTTCAGCCTAGCAACTGAACGGCATTGGTATCGTTCTTGTCACAGTGTTAACTCGTCGGGACAGATAACGAGTTGATATATTTGGTCGAGAATACGTGGAAAAGGGGAAATAACTGTTTGGTGGACTGCATGCTACGTCAGAGGCGTGCGGCTGGATACATCATCGGTTAGTAGACTTAGTGGAGGGCACACCAGTGAACTGAAGGTTATTTGGCTCTGCGCGCAGCATAAACGTTTCGCTGTAATGACAAATGTAAGGTGCTAAAGACTTAAGAATGAATCTGACTAGCCAAAAATATTATCTTAACTACAAGTCAGTTGGAGGCGGACGTACTTTTTAGTAGTTTAACTCCAAGATAAGTTTTAAGGTTGATTTCACTTAAATCTCTATCAAGGAGCCTCGCAAAACTTACAACCCCGTTTACTTCGAATTACTCAATCTCCCCGACACTCTTTCACGTGCACAAATACTGTAAACCTTCCCCTGCCCCAAGGAGAACATACGTTTGTCTCGAAGGTTCTCTAAATGAGGTTACGAGGGGGGCTGAGGTAGGGATTTACAATTCCCATGGGACTCTTTTTTGTAATTGCACACGCCTGGTCTGGAGGCCGAATCATTGTCCCCCATTTATCTGCGCCAACGACACTTCACCCCGAGGATGTATCTTGCTTCCGATCATAGTACAGGTGAGTCAGACAGTACACTAATCACCAACACCGATTATGAAGCCGCGATAACTAACGTCTCAAATGTGGGTGTCGATTCAAATACGAATGCCTATGATGAGTGAGGCCGTTATTTTTAATAGATGCATAGTTGTTCTGTAACTGCACTCTAAAACTACAACGCCTGTACGTCAGCTACTTTTTTCCGTTGCTGGATGTGCGTAAAATTCCTGTTTTAACGATCACCTGTCTCTCCTCTTAACTGCATCCTAAAACACATCCTTTCCAGTTACTCGGCAAATGGGTTATCTTATTCTATCTGACTCATTCAAGACCTCTATCTACTTTCTGAATTATCGCCTCATAGTGACTGCCTTTCATGTTAACTCTGAGTAGCCATTTCCCACTGTACACTTTATCTCCAATTCCGTCAAGGTGAGAAATATGGGTTAGGTGGGCGAGAGAGAAGAGGAGGGTGTAAGTGATGATTTGGTTGTCTCGGCAGCTCCTTAAAAGGAAGCTAAATCCGGTCCGATAAAAAAAAGCAAAGGGGTAGACATGCAGTTGTGATGCCGCACCCCTTGAGTCATCAAAATTTCACTGCAAGCCCATCTACTTCGGCCCATTTATTCTCTTGCTACTCACACTCATCACTGGTTCCTGACATAGCACTGTACTTTTAGATAGAGGAAGCAGACGGATACCAAGGCCCTTCTTGCTAATCGGGAGGCGGACTTCGGGTGGGTGGAGGCAGACTTACTCCTTCGGGTCCCTGCACCCGTTAGAGCGCACGCCTTCAGCTCTCCAGCTGTGGTCGCAGGAGTTCATAGGAAGTCAAGCGGAATTGTCGGCACGATGCCGACCCTATGTCCGGCTGCTTTCTTATTATCGCGGCCGCCCCCACCCCTCGCTTCTCAAAGCGACTTGACTGAGCACTTGCAAAGGTGCCTCTCTGTATGGGAAAGGTCTAAGCAGTTCTCACGCGACAGTCCACTCTGCTAAAAAAAAACGTTGGCACGAACAATCGAGCGGCGGCTTTCTCAGGCCTGTAAGAAGAGACTTGAGCAGGAACGAGAGCTAGCGACGTATCCTCACCAGTCGAGCTCCCAATTCCTCCTGTCATACATCATGGGCAGGGGAGAAACTACGGTGACACTACTCACTTTTCTTTTTAGTAGGCGCATACGGAAGGGTACCAACCCCACCTATTTCCCTCATCGTACTCAGATGTACTACAGGGCTGCGCTCAATCCGGTGGCTGTATGAACTAAGATTCTACTCAGGCACTCGCATAATGCTCTTAATCAGCGTACAAACATCCGTCGTTATATTCCTATTGTCGTCAGTCATTTTAACCTTGTCAGGGTTCCCACTTGTCGTTAATAACTGAGAGCGGATGAAGAACGCAGCCACTGTTTTGGTTAGCCAAAAAAGTCAGGTTAGGGGCACGTGTGGCTACCGATATACGCGGCTCTATGGCCGATCGACAGCACTTCAATTGACAAGCATCTACCTGAAAAGTTCATAGATCAAACAACTAAATACACACACCGAGATGATAGTTTGTCACTGCCATACTGGGGTGGCTCCAGCTCGAATTCAATGACAACAAATGAAACTTTCACAGAATCGTCATTACTCTTTCATCTATGCACGTCATGTCAGAACGGCTGGACAAAGAGTCGAGCTCGGTGACTGATCGGACACCCTGTCCCTATCTACTCGTTTCTGGCTGACCTTCGCCATTGGGCCAGACCTTACACACGTGCGTATTTATTGATGTAGTGAAGCCACCTTCTGGAAACACTTAACGTCAAGATACCTAGGGCTTCGGAATGGCATATTAGCTTCTGGCCATTCAGATTTTTGGGATTGACTGATGCTGAATTATTTTGGGCCTATTAGCCTTTATCGATTTAATCATAACCCTGACCACTAGCGGGTACCGAAAACACAGCAGACGCACACACTCATGACGCAGATGCCTTACCACTGTGGTCTACCAGATGACTCATAAGCACTTCATCGAACCGAAGTTCATCGGTGTCTCGCCATCTGCCATTCTCTGTCACTACAGATCGGGTATATATTCACTAAGGAATGAAAGCCATGTTTGTGTTTTCGGTCTCAGTTACTGATCAGGTATATCACTGGCTAATTTACACCAGGTTAGCGATTAATCTCTAAGGAAATAAAAAACCTGCAACATATATATACACTTCGTGCCCCCAGCCAAGAGCAGCAGTCAACCTCGGAAAAGTTAAAGCTAGTCAGATGTGAACAGGCGGGTCAAAGTTCGTGCTTCGAGCACGGCTATAAGGCGAGGCGAGCGGTGACACCAAATAACTCAACACGAGCGGAAAGAGCAACCGCACTAATCGGACGATGACAATGAGGGAGTTACCGAAACGTCAGTACACATGCAATTTGGTCCATGAACTGGCATCCTCTTCTGCTTTGTCTTCTTCAGGGACGATAAACGCGATGGGGCATTTGGACCTCAATTATTTGTACATGCATACAAATATGTGCCCCGGTAGGGGGCGCTCACCGATCGTTCTTACCGAACTCACTCGTTCCGTTGTGCCTTACGGGCTCTCTCTCGAGCCCAACCAGCAGCCGCACAGCGGCGCATGATATATAGGCAGAATGGCATTACCGACAAAGAAAAGGGAGACTGGAATGGCCACTTTCGGCTTATTAGCCGTCATCAGCCAGTCATCCCCAACCCCGAAATGTGGAACACCCGAGGCTCGAACTCGAGACCTGTTAGTTCGAAGTCCACGCCTCTAACCACTGGGCCACGAGCCTGTTGCCCTGCCGGTTTTGATCGGGAATATATAATGGTAGGGGGTGCTCACCGATATATGAGCCGCCTATATCATGCGCCGCTGTGCGGCTGCTGGTTGGGCTCGAGAGAGAGCCCGTAAGGCACAATGGAACGAATGAGTTCCGTAAAAACGATCGGTGAATGCCCCTCTACCACTGTATATTCCCGATCTAAACCGACAGGGCAACGGGCTCGTGACCCAGCGGTTAGTAGCGGGGACTTCTAACTAACAGGTCGCAGGTTCGAGCCTCGGGTGTTCCACACTTCAGGGTTGGGTATGACTGGCTGATGACGGCCAATAAGCCAGAAATGGCCATTCCAGTCTCCCTAGTCTTTGTCGATAATAACACTACATATGTGCACGTATTATTAGTTGAAGTGAAGATATACGTCCACGGTTGAGAAGGAAAGGCGTTCAAGGGAACCACGAAGCTAATGCCCTGGCGTCCCCAGAACGGAACACTGCCACTGTTAGAGGTTGGGGTGGTATCGCGCATCACAGTATTTAAAAAGTGTTGCCGTTGCTGACGGGCCGCTGCATCCAAAGCTAACTTTGCGGTATGTACGGCTAGGCGGAAGAGAGACGAAAACGGGGAAGTGCTTACCCTTTGAAGCGTCAGCGAGAGGGGCACCAGGCGTTTTCTCTATCTAATATTTTGTTTATTCAATCTACCAAGTTCTCAGTCAGTCGTAAAATATAAGCTAGCTTACAGCACACCTCAATGAAACTCACGGCGAAGATGGCCTTCAACTTCAACCGAAACGCTCATCTGGATTTATTCATGATAATAAGCTTTATCGTGAGCACAGAACATTTGAAAGGGTAAAAAAGACAGAAGTGATCATTACCATCTCTCTTGTCTTTTTTGGTATCCCACGCACATGCGTATGCGTTTACTTGCATGATGTTTACAGTGCCCCTTACTCTAAGGTCCGTTTATGTTGCTCTGCGACCTTCTGAAAGTAAATATCCTATCGCACACGTATTAAGCAGAAACCGGGAGGCATAAAGAAAGAGAACGCGGTCGGTCAGAAACACAATCACCTGACTGCTGCTTCATGCTGAAATTAATTCCTAACACATACAGGTCCAAGCACTTACCTGGTCGTAATTTCGCCGGTGTGTTTATCGATCCTGAAGAAGATTGCATCCTTTTCACTACCAAGGGAATAAATCAGCTTCGATGGGTTCTTCTCTGTCGCACCCAGTCTTGGCGATATCTTCACCTCGTCAGGATTTGCTCCTTTCTGAAATACGAGGACAGATTGCATTTCTCCTGGATTTGGCATATCGTCCACATCGACCGCCGTGACGGTGCCTACAAACTTTCCTGGCGACTCATTCTCCTGAATGCTGAACGCATAGCCCGAATCTGTGTTTGTCTGCAGAATGAACTGGGGGGCGTTGTCGTTGACATCGTCCACTCGGACAAGGACCTCTGCTGAGGAGGAAAGGGCTGGTGTGCCGTGGTCAACGGCCACAACGATAAATTTGTGCCAGCTTTTGATCTCTCTGTCCAAACGAGCAGTTGCGTAGAGGGTCCCGGTCGTCTGGTTGATGGAAAAGTAGTTGACCGAGGCCGGGTCACTTGGATCCGGTTCCAATCGGTAGCTGATCTGTGCATTGATCCCGGCGTCGCTGTCCGTAGCATGTACCGAGAACTCGCCACTCAGGCTCCGCAACCGACGTGTGGTCGTAGAGCCTTCTGCACTGATGACACCCTCTCCATCATCTTCCATCACAAAGAGTTCGTATGTGGGGCTATCGAAGACGGGGGCATTATCATTGGTGTCCAGGAGGTTCACGCCAATATCTTGACGAGTCGTGTGATCGGCGGAGTCACGACAAATGAGGCTGACTTCAAGGCGAGGCGTCGCCTCCCGATCGAGCTGAGCATTAGTCAGGAGAGAGTACTCATTTTTATTGCTTCCCTGGGAAGTAAGCTGGAAGTATTCAGCCATCGGACCCTTAAGTTGACAATCGACGCTGTCCAATCCCTCGAGATCGGGATCTGTCACCTCAACAAGGGCTAACAGCTGTTCCATCATGCCGTTCTCCTGAGCGGTGGTGTCAACAGAGGATCCAGGTTTGGGCTTAGGAGCGTCTTTTGGCGGATAAAGAGGATATACTTGAATCCTGGGGGCTTCGTCATTTGTGTCAGAGACTTGGAGCTGAACAACTGTGCGACCAGTAAGTGCATAGGCCGGATCAGCCCCATCCACAGCTTCCACACCGAAGGTCATGGTGGAAGTCGGAAGATATTTCATGCCAGCTACCTTATCCACGTTCAGACGTCTACGTACTTTCAATTCTCCATGTTGTGTGATTTGGAAGAAGTGGTCAATCAACTCCATGACTGGCTGGCCATTATCCTCCAGACGGTAGGAAAGTTCTGCATTCGGACCTGTATCCCTGTCCTGAGCATGTAATTGGATTAACGTTGTGCCGACGGGTGTGTCCTCTGAGATCATGTTGACTTTGTAAAGAGGTCGTTCAAAGACTGGCGGGTTGTCATTGACGTCAGTGACGTTTATTATTATTTTTAGACGTCCCTCCAATGGTTTCGGACTCCCGGCATCCCGCGCGACTAAAGTCAGGCAAATGATTTCGGGTGATTGCTCGCGATCAATCGGCGTCCTCAGGCGTAAGGCCAACTTATTTGAGACCCTAGGCAGCATAAGTCCCTGTGCGGAGTGTATTGCGATCTCGGGCTCCTTGACCAGTTCAAACAGACCAGTTGCCGACCGTTTTCGGAAATCTTCTGTAGGGTGAGCAAAACCCTGAGTTGGGAGTGAGGGCGAGTCATCTTCCGTCTGTAGGCTGTAGGTGATCTCCCCATTAGGACCCGAGTCGGGGTCCTCGGCGAGGGGCAGAAAGAGAAGGGTTCCAGCTGGATCGCCATCTCGCAAGTATATATGGAATTCCGAGGTTTCCCATGACGGTGCTCTGTCATTCACATCCAAAATGTTCAATTTTAGATGAAAAATCTTGTCGCCATTGGCAACCCGCAGAGTAACCACACAGTCCGATATTTCAACGCTATTGTTGAGGAAACCGCCGAACGCGGGGCCCATTCGAGGATGCGCTTTGAAGAGAGGGTTGATTTGTGAACGGTGTTGCGCACTCTCCTCTATGTGAAAAGCGCTCGAACGATGGAAGCTGGAGTCTTCTGAGGCCCCACCCTTATTCGTTGGACAGATGGTTTCACGATCTACCGGACCGCAAACCACTAGCTCCAGTTCGGCAGCAGCTCCAGGACTGCGAGTTCGTCTGACAAATGTGAAACTTGAGGCTCCAGGTGCATCACGGTTGACAATTATTGGCAAGTTAACGTTGGGTTCGTAGTAGAAGACGCTGAGCTCGGATCCCGAGGCAATCACTGTCCCGTTCGGTATACCCTCCTGAACCCGAAAGACGAACTCTGACTGAACAAGCATGGTAAATGTGGAGTAGGACGCGAAGACCAAGTAAAAAAGGACGTCAGCCACTCTAAGCATCGCGGTTAGTTGAGTAGGAAAGGGAATGGTTGAATACACAGGGTTGAAAGTCACGGGTTCTCAGATGGGAGCAAAGATGCTGCGACTGCCCGGAGGCATTACCATAATGCTGTCCTCGCTGCCATGTAAAACCTTCAAGAAAAAAAAGTAGAATAACTTGGGCATGTTGAAAGCGATTCAAATAATCATGTCAGAAGTGCAATCAGCAAAAAGTCAGGCACCTTTATAACCGACTACGTACCAAACCTTTTTAAGATGCGAATTCGAAAAAAATTTAAAAAACGATTCATCGAATGGATTCGGAAATACTACGTCGACACTGTCTGCCATATTAGGAAGGACAGTGTCAGTAGTGGTAAAAATACAACTGTTGTCAGTAGGGCAGAGATAAGTTGGAAAGCGTAATTGCCCTAATGTCTCAAATGTTTCCCAACTCAGTAACATGTGCTCCGGATCCACCTCAGAAGGCTTGAGAAGCTTTATTTTGAACTTTTAGCTCCCTCAGAAATTAGCGCGCGAAAATGGGGTAGAGCCTTCGAGACAAACGCTTCTGGTCCACTCCAGTATCTAGTATGAATATTTGGATTGAGATCCAGCACCTTCGGCGGAATAATTGAGTAATACTCATAAGCCGCCAGCAGGCAGTCGATAGTATGCATTCAAAACTGGAATACGTGGTAGAAAACATATAGAAATCACAGAGGGACCCACTGATGACTTACAGCAGCGTGATGTGGCTGAGCAGAGTCGGTAAAACACGCGTCTGAGCTTTTTGCTAGCATCTGTGCTCTCAGTATTGTGAGTTACTCAACATGTGCCATCATTATTTTTCATGAACTAGCTACTTTGCTAAGTCTGTCACAAATTTCCTCCCTCGTAGATAGGCTTGAAATCGTTATGAACCGCAAAAGAGTCGTTTGGGAATGAAGAAGCTTTAAGATAGAAATAACGAGGAAAGCTGTTTTCCTTGAAAGTTACAAAAATGCTAACTGCTGCATAATCGTTAACAGCAATGATAATAGTGATGGTTACCAGTAGTAGTAGTTGTTGTTGTTGTACTGTAGACCTATACATCTGGCGTGCCGGGCAACAATCTTTGGCTGTTTGAAGAACAGAGGTTTGGGTGGACAAACAATCATATGGCGAATCACACAAATAGACCTGAGCGAAGTACCGACAACTCGGACTTACCAATCCAATTGCTTTCTAGCCATGATTTCTTGTCAAGCCTTTTGAAGTCAAATGCAACTAAAGGTCCGGGTGCGCCGGCTGCATCTATTTCCATCCACTGTCACTACTCTCCTGTGTGGATGGGAAGGCGTTTATCGTTTCAACCGTTTAGGCTCCATTCAAACGACCATGGGGTATAAGTTGAAGAGGACTGTAATTACGGACCAAAATAACTCTTACAATTCGACCAATCCACAAAGTCCTGCAAGGCTAACATGGCAAATTGCACTCTTCCGGTTTCCTAAGCTACCCTTTGGGCCAACGTCTTACTGTATATTCAACATCATCACTCTTTCATCCCTGGAACGGTTCTGGCAATCCTCCATAGAATAAAACACGAAATTGGCCGGGGATGATAACGGCGCACTCCAGGTTTCTGATAAAGTTTGCGCATGGATTGAAAATACATACATCCTAAACTAGCATAGGAGTGGCTTGTTATGAACAAAGTCACTGAACTGCGGATTTTTTGGTCTTCTTAGGGGCCGTGCGTGCTTATATGAAAACTCCTGACGAGTTCGCTGCCGGTAACCAGCCCAATCCATTCCCCTCTCAGAGGCCTGGGAAAAGGAGGAGGCTTGATTCCTTATTTAAAGCGACTTATAAATGCACTTGTGCTTGAAGTGAAAATTCACATCTCAATGCATAAACGGTAAGCAAAGGTGATCACGGTGACTACAGTTCTAATGGCTCAACATTTCAAACGTAGATGAACATCCATCCTCGGTGATGTCGCTGTCTCAAAGGCTGCCTACGTAGACTGCACCGGAGGGGGGGGGGCGTGGACGGCTTAGTGACAAGCACCTTACTTGTTCCCCTTTGGGGGTGCGGACGATGTCGACGTGTAATCAATATGTGTTGCCCCGGTCATTGCCGCTTGTTTGCGCCTGTCCGCATCAGTGAGGCCACTGACTGCTACACGTCTATCGGGGTCTCTGATTTATCTGGCGGCATCCTCCGTCATCGGCATTCGCGCATGGCCTGCGTTAAGGTCCTATAGGCGGTTTCGCGGGTTAAAATCCTCCACGCATTCCGCTCCGCCTGTCTTTAAATCAAATTTACCACCATGCCTGCCTACGTCACTGTTTAAGCTGGATTCGTTTACGTCTGACTTCCTGCTCGCAGTTCCTTGGGTGAGCACTTCCCGCGGGACCAGATAGGCTGCAGAGAGGGTCACACAACTGTTGATGAGGTTTATCTTGGTGTTCCAATCCTCAAACGCTTCTGTGAATTCCTGATCACTGAATATTTTAGCTTCCTCGAAAAGGGGCTGTGTCTAGATGGTGCACAGCGTTTTACTACCAGCAAAGTCTGGTCAATCATCCTTATTATCCATGCGTGTTCACCCACGCGGGTCTCTGGTCGTCTATCGGAATCTCCATCACAGCTCATATCGCAGAGACTTCACTGGACGCGACAGTCAACGTTCTTTTTTTCGCCTCGCACCAAAGTTTTCAGATCTTGCGACCAGATGTCGTACTGCCGCCTCAAGCCCGTAGGCGACACCGCATTTCGGTGAAAGTAGGGGACGACCGGCCGTTTTGGATATGTTCTCAGTGTACGATGTTACACATTAGAGTATCGTTTGTGCCACTGTGGGTCCGACAGTTCATATGGGCTGTCGACCGGACTCTCTAGAGCTGCTGAAACACATGAAGACGGTGGACGCAGGTGAAAGCAGTGGAATTCGACTACTTTGTCTTTCTCCTCCCTGCAGTACGCGTGTGTTCTCTCGTAGAGACAGGATTTACCCAATGTACGATTGGTTGTTGTTGCCTGACGACGATTACCAAGTCAGAAATAAACACCACAGTCCCAAGTGTTTTCTTTTTCATATATCAACTCCGAGTAAGAGACGACCCCATGACTACACCACATTTGTGCGGACATTTTTGAAACCCCTACTTTCACCATCAGTGCTGCGAAGCGACTGCTCCTGCTAGCCTGGATTTGTTCAGTCTCGCCGGCTGTTTCGTATTATAGTCGTACCGGACGCACAACCCTTGGTATGCCTGTTCGTGAAGGATTGATTCTGTCCCCTTCTCAGCCGACCGCTGGTGAACTCGCCTGACTACTGTCTCATTCGTGGTCATCGCAGTTGCCGAAAAATCGCTGCGGCCGTTGGCGGCTCTCTCGTAACCGGATGGACCAGTCAGCTTCCACTGCGCGTCGGTGAGCAGATGTCTCATACCGGTCGAATGGTCTCTGCTCGACTCTATCTATTGTCTGGCGGGTGTTAATTGTTGGATAAGCGGCACTTGGCCCATTTGTGGTGTTGGCCCTGTCCGGACTGGACTTAGTCTTAATTGTAGCGTCTAGTATCAGAGGAACAGGTTTACGACCCGACTAAGTGCATTAACCGAAAGCCAAACTTTGAGAACAGCCCGGTTATTTTCTTGTTGGTTCGACCGATGGCCCCTGCCTCCCCGAAGGTGAAACTGCTTTTCTTGTATTTGGTCATATACCAGGCACAGTTCACCCCCACGATTAACTGCATGCTGCTATCCCTGTTTTGTTGCGTCAAGGCCTTTGTCCATTTCACTAACGTAGCTCGCACTGCAATTTTGGAAGGGCATGCTATAAACCACTGTTTATTGTTTTGTTGCCGGCAGCGGGTCTTTGGGTCTCATTATCTGCTGTCTTACTTCAAATTTTAGTTTATAAGTCACACCACTTCAAGAAGGGTTCATGATTCCTGCTGCTGCCCCCGAGGCGTTCTTCAGATACGGGACCACGAGCAAGGAACTCGATTTCCCACCGCCCGAAATCTGGCGAGCAGGCTTTTTCAGGCAGTTGCGCATGCAATATCATGGGCGACCACTGACTACGGATAGAAAATGTAGGTATTTCACTGCCGCCCTTCTCCCATTGTCGTCTTTGAAGGGTTTCTGCAGAGGCTCGAACGATTGATCTTCGGTTCGTACCCTCCCCCCTTAAAAAAATTCTGGTTCGGATACTTCAACGACACGTTTTTCTTACTCAAAAGGAGCGGCATGCAAGATTTTAAAGCACTGTTGAACTCACTCTTTCACGAACTGTAATCTATCATAGAAGACGAAGTCAACGATCATTTGCCCCTCTTCGATGTACAAGTTACAGGTATAGCGGGCTAAAAGATAACGACTATGGTTTGTCTTATGGCAAAGAATACTAGAGGCACTTTCCTGTCCAACGGCAATCACCTTATTAGCCACAAATGCCGTTTTGTCAGAATTCTGTTCCAACTGGTTCAAACGCACTGCAGGGACGAAAACGGGAGAAAGGAGGAAATTTAACGCTTGCACCCCTATTCCCAGGTAATAGTTGACCCTGGTCCTTTCACTGTCTGACCGAAAACGAATGAAACTGTTGTACATAGTTTATCTAAAAGACTGCAGCACTACGCCTTCGAAAACCAGTTCAGATCCAGCTACTCCACTCAGGTTTGGAGGTACTCCCGTTTGTACCAGCTATCCTGTCGCTGCTGTCTCGAATACAACTGCTGGATGCTTCAGAGAGAAAGTTTTAATGGTCAACCAAGGACAGTTGGAGACGATGAGCGATAGTCGCCCTTTTCGGCAATCCTACCTCCTCAACCTACTTGATTTCATCACACTCGTAAATCTACGACCGGCCCTCCTAGGCGCAGGGTACAGTTAGCCATGGATGATAATAATTGGGTAATTCATATTGGCCCAACTGTAAAAAACTCGGCGCCTCGGTGGGATTCGAACCCACGCAGTAAGGGGAAGGCTTTAGCGCAGCCAACGCTCTAACCACCTGAGCTACGAGGCAAAAGTCGTCCTTTCCGATGTTCCCTCCAATTATTCCCTCCTTCTAAGTTCACAGCGAATGATACACAGTCTAATGACGACGCCTCCAAACCCCTACTTCGCAGCCCCAGGTGGCGGCCTGCGCGTATGCTGGAAAACTGAGAGACAATGAATGGCTGTGTTTGCGAATTTGCCCACCCTGGATGTGAGTACGCACGCACTTCGATGTTCTGGTGATTAAATGGTGATCGTCAGCGCTAGGGGGGACCAAGTCACGGTTCGTGGTGGTCACACAAAGGTTCCGCTCGTACGCCCGCACCACGTGTATGCGCGCCACGCAGCGTGTAGAGGGGTGTGAACATTCATCAGACACATGAACGCGCGCATGCTCTTCGCACGGACTCGAACCGGCGGGAGGCCCCGGCGGATACGCCGCTGCCGCCCCGTGTCTCAGCTTGCACGCCAACGATCGCGTCAGACAAGTGTCAAACGTTGGAACAGAGAGAATACCAGTTCAAGTTAGTTAGTAAAACGCATTAAAATGCTGGGGAGCACCACGGGACCGGAGGCCCGTGGTCAGTTATAGAAAGAATAGGACTGCCCTGATTAACTGAGATTCTTAAGCACAAAGAGGCGAAGAAGTAAAGCACAACTGAGGGATGTGTGGATGCTCAACAAACTCAGTTACCGGGCTGCCATTATGACTGCCGCTCTCCTGACGACTGGCAGTTGTCGAAAGGGGTGCTGGCCAAATGTCAAGCATTTGCACCACTCAGTACTAGGAAAGGGCTACTTTTCCACAAATAATAATTCAACGGACAATCGAGTATCAAGGCGGCCCAATTTTAATTGAGAATCCTTCGTTAAGAGGCCTATCATATACTTCATATACAGGTAAAATATGAGAACAACGGACAGTTATAAGAGCGCTTAGCGTGGTCACATTGCTTCGGGAATAATGGCTCGCCAATTTCCACAAACAAAAACCGTAAGATCCGTTTAATGAGCGCTTCCCCCGTTGCAGAGTCATACTTGAGTTCAGGCTCAGAAATGACAAAGCAGACGAACCATGGGTGTTAGCTTGACGAAGGGCCAATTAGCAAGGTTTCATGCACGGCGAAAACAAATGCTGTTGTTAGCTGTGGTTGGTTAGTGAATATCACGTCCTCTGAAAAGACTGCGAGTCAGATCCCGATCGACCATTCCGTACTGCGATTCTTACGCGTACGATTCAACGAAACCGTGAGCGTGGATAGCGTAAAGACACAGCCCTCGAGCATGAGCACATTTTCTGCTCTTCCCCTTTCAGACTGGAGATTCAGCGCTGGATACAGGTGTGCCCACGGTTCGTACAGTTGGTTGGGGACAGTGAAGTATGAGCTAGTCAAGCAAAGCCTTGGAATGAACTAGCAAAAGCAAAACGCCACACAGATGAATTTATGTTTAGAGTCTTTGGTAATCCTCATAGGAGACTTACATCAAGGTCTCAATACTGTTGGTATGAGAATTGTGTTTGAGGCCTTACTCCGCGTATAGAGTTTTCTCTTGACGAAACAGTTCATACTTAGGTCGGTTTTTCTGGCCTCCTATCAGTGAGCTAGAGAAACACGGGTAAATAGATCATTGGAAGTTGAAAGTCGTTTGCAGGTCCCCTAAGTTACGAATGACTACGAACGTGCATCATTTACTGAAAGGTCCATTTGTACGGAATTAAAGTACTTCGCGAAGCACAGAGGGAAGAGGAAATTAGAACTGTTTTACCATTTAGAGGGGCATCATTTAGAACTGCATCGTATATGGCAGCAGGAGACAACAAGTGTGAGACAGAAATTTAGGCAGTTTGAAAAATAAAAGCCCGACCGACAGACGGTGCATAAACGACTAAAGAGACAAGAAGAACCATACCAGAGAGAGAAAATGAGGTAGAACTTGACGCCCGTATTCGGATAATATCAGCTTCCACAAAAAATATGAATAAATTACCAGGTATAAAAGTATGTGAGCACTTTAGCCAACACACGTGGTATCAGGAAGAAGCCGGTGGGGCTGAGCCGGCATTCGCTTGTTTCTGTGCCTCTGGGGCCAATCAAAACTCGATAAAAGAACGTGTCCGCCATAAGGAGCCAATCAGCATCAGACTTTCTGATACGCGTCGGGCCGAAGGCTTCGGGGAGTGGGGGTGGCGAGTCGCACCAGTCGCACTCTCGCGTACTAGGCGGAGCTCGTTCGTGGCCTTCGAATACGGCATGGAATCGTACCCGTGATCGGCCCTCTCGTTTTTAGCAGAGCAAGTCTGTTTTTGCATACAATAATTTAAGTAGTCTTGCTAACACCAAGCACTGCTTATGAGGAGCCCTCCATTTACAACGATGGGCAACTCAAGGTCCTTCAACTTGGTTCATACCGAGAAAGGAAGATACGCAAAGGCACTCAAGTATTCTGACAAAATTCGCCAGGAAATAAGTAGTTTGGAGACTGTTGACTAAAGCGCATGTTAACGTAGCATTCAAAATTAAGAATGCGGAGCAGATAAGGAGGTGCCATTGGAAACTTCACCAAATAAGCCTCCCCAACACATAACCTTCGAAAAAATGTCGCCCATCCAGTTGACAGTTTCACTGAAGTTCAAAATGGCATTCATGTTGCCTGTTAAGGCACAGATTATAAGCCATATTGGGCGAAAAAAGTATCTTGAGCGGAAAAAAGATTCAAAACTTTTTGTCTTCGGAACGTTGAGGGTGCTTGGAAAATAGGGCTCCCTAGATTTGTTCCCGAGAGGAAATCTAGACACAAACCATTGAGATAAAGACAGTACGGCCCACCTTGTATGCGGTTAGAAACGGGCCGTCCGCCAGCTATTCGGTCCGGAGAGCGCGTTTTAGTTCACTTTTCATATACCGATGTGCGTCAGGCTAAGAAAACTCCAATTTGATTTTTTAAGCACAGCAAAGTGTGACATACGCCAGTAGCCATAATCTCAGAACTGAAGAGCACTTGAGACAAACGTAGGGCTACGTAACTGAGGGGTGGTGGGAAATTTGAATAGAAAGGTAGGTAGTTCAGACTTTTACTTTGAAACGGACAAAGTTTACAATAAAATACTTTGGAACTCAAGTTTCAGCACAAAAGAAAAAAGGCACACTTAACTAGTACTGTAATGAGTTCCCGCGAGGACTTTATATTTTTCAAGGACGTGGGTGCCTAGTCAGTAAACCACGCCACCACTTTGCCCGAATACATATAGGCGAAAATTCCATTCTAGTCGGTCAAAAATATGACTAGAGAGAAAAATATTGCTGATTCAGATTCAAAAGTCACTTATCAGAGTTAACAAAAGTGCGAAATTCTAACTAAAGAGGGTGTTTAGCGGCAGAGGTTTCGACTAAGAATAGGAGCCCTAATAATTTTAAAATTGTACAAAATCAGAGTCGGATATGTCGATTTCTCTACTTTCCCAACACTGTGACATTCCGACAACGTTCGGCAAACTCAAGCGATCTTAGTCCGGTAACGAGTGCGACGTTTTAGAGCAGGCCCGAATACAGTTTTCCGATTAGAAGGCAATTGCAGTCCTTGCCTGACCTTGTAACGTCATTCCGGTCATGTGGCAAATCCCTGCAGTTGTAATGATGCTGGCTTGATGGCCGAAGCACAATATCAATCAGTAATTAATTAGAATTGTTGAAAGTCTCAAGCAGAGGACTCATTACGATTACAGAGTCTGTCTGACTAGCTGCTCAAGATCACATATCCCTACTCCGGTGTAATCAAAGTTTTATTAAAGATGTTGGAGAAATCCGAGAAAGTGCGGAAAAGTCATCCATGAGCACATTTGGACAAGATGAACTTTCGCCTCGGACGCCAGTAAATATGAGAACAAGACTGCTCATTTACAGCTTATCTTTCTTCCGCAAACAGCCGTGGCCTTACCCGAAGCATAATGGATAGGGTACCTATCCCCCGATCGGCAACTTCAAGGCCTTTACACATACACCTATTGCTGCCTCCCACCGGCCGTTTAACAGGGACATAAGAACTCAACGTTGAACCCATAGACACTTTGTTCTGAAACTCATGCAAATGAAATTCAGTTCGTAAATATGTTCCAGAATGGAAAAAAGTATACGTTTGGGATAGAAATGATGAAGAGGGTGGAACAAAATCCTAAATGAAATAAACATGTCAACTTGCCATTGAGAAACGTCTCACAAGACCGAGAGGACCTCCTCTGAGATCGGGAGAATTCGTCGAAAGCCACTTTCGTGTTAGCTGAAATGTTCCTCCTCGTGGCCGACAGGACACGACCCGCGCGGAAATGGTCGGACGTCTCGCCAAATGCCCAAAGTCAGCTGGATACAAATTTACCGTCGTTTTAGCCTACTTTTGAGTCATGGCGGGTTATTGACGAAAAATAGACCAGAAATATCCATCTACGTCTGTTCTTTTTGCTGATAACACATGCCGCGCAGTAGAAGCGCAATTATGCTACTTCTCCAACGTGTAATCCACTGACAAGTTCGTCCATTTACAACGGCCATACGTGGAATCCGATTAATAAGAGGAAGTCAGATAAACGGCTTAGGGGAGCCCAATCAGAATAAGCTATTTCTAACCCCTGAGAATGAACCTCTGTTAGTGCTCTGTGTGATAAGCTTCAAGCGATCCGCGCGGAGATGTCGTTCGTCACTTAGGACCTTTTTTGCTGATATTCATGTAGTCACTTTAGAAGCCCCAATTAAGAAGGACCTAGTCCTCTCCGAAATGCTACGATTTAAGTGAATGAATATGCCCAAGAATATTAATTACGATTTTTTAAATATTCGTCGGAGATTGTTAGTATCGCAGTTGCGCCCCACTGCTACCGACTGCTAGCCTTTGCATTTACGCTGTAAGTGCAGTCATAGGTTAGACTGACATGTGAACAAAGTTGTATTATCTAGCTTCTTCCATGATATGCCTAGTGTGGCGTATACAAGAACCATGGGTACAACGATTTGAGCATTTATAGGTTGCTGATTGTCCTTTCAATGATACCTCTCCTGGAAGATTGCAGTTCATAGGATTCAGCTCGAGACTTCCTCAAGACCATCCATCTGTTAGACTGCCATTCTGGGTGCCCGCTTGCGATTACAGTCCTTGCTTGTGTCATTAAGTAACTAGTTCATCCTCTGTTATTCTGCTGACATTAGGGCTCTCTCAGGGGAATATTACTGAAGTAAGAATTGGGATTTGCAGTTCTTCCCACCACGAAAAAGTGCCATTTTTCTTCTTATAAAAGATATCAAGGAAATAGCTCCTTAGAGTTAAATACGCAAAGTCGCACTCTGTAGTTCTTCTGCATTATTCTTTGACTACCGAACTTTATTCCCTGTATGAATCCTGTGCTTAACACGCCGTGCTGGAGTTGTGTGCGTGCAAGCGGTTACTCAAAATGTAGGAGTTAGACCAAAACAGTTTGTATGGCCGGACAATACGTCATATGTGTCCTGTCTACTAAGGTCAGTGGAGTTACGGGAGATTTCAAGTGGTTAGATTAATCTCGCAAAGTTTATTTTCTGGACTTTATGAGGGTAATCGATTTCCAACAACATATGGCTGTTTACAACGGAAGATAATTTAACGTATTCTGAAGCGTCGTTAACTCATCTAACCATGTGACAGGACAAAATCGCATAGAGTGCGCTCGATTTAAATCTACGAGTCCGTAAATGGGATTTTCACGGATGATTGTACAGATAGGAATAGTCTATATCCGGACAGTTAGGAATCGTGGCAAAATATGCTGTCAGCTCCAAGCTCCACACTAAATAGGGTTGGCACACCAAAATTTTGATAAAAGAAGTCCTCCAGATCTGTATTTTCATTAGCGGCAAACCGCGGACGAGTTATTTTTTTATACAATCGGCTCCTCCAAAAATTTATTCACTAATGTCTACTTTTCCAAAAACCCAAACACCTACTTCCTGTGCGGATATTCAAACAGCAATCTTAGACTTTATTCTACTCTGCCTTGGCGCAGCAGGCCTGAACGCTGATCGTCGTTCACGTTGTGATGAGCAATCAGTGGCGGATAGATATCAGCGGCAAAGTTTAGAAAGACTGCATAATCACTCCTGACTTGTATGGGATTCACAACCGGCTAAATATTGACGCCTGGCTGGAAAGTTCGGGAGATTAAGCTCTGGTTCGGCCGATTTGGAGTCCAACGTACTACCAGCAGCATATGAGCCTGTACCTTTCTAATGTGCTGAAAGTCGCTGCAGCCTCGTTTTGCCTGATCTCGAGTACAGCTGACATAGTTCGTGACTCCGGGTACACTTCAACTATATTGGTTTGGATTGGAATAGCGGGTCTTCCGCGCCTGAATTTGGGGTGTGGTCGACAGACCGCGGCGAAAAATAAAAATTCATTCGAAATCCCTTCACTTTTTCTGCAAACCGTTAGATTTCTGCACTCCAAATTCATGCGTTGGACGTGAAGATACAGTAAGTGACCGATCTCATGAAATGTTGGCCGAACATCTAAAATGCACTTCCGATTTGGAAGGATTACTTAGGTGGGGTTGTAATATTGATTATCGTGTAGCATAATCCAGTAATATTTCGGACTGGCCAGGATGTCGACTTTTGAATGCACTTCATTTCGATCTCCTGCAGAGACCACACTCGGTTAAAAATTGCTGCTTAAGTAGCACGCACTTTTCGCATTGAGTTTCGATGGTCATTAAAGTTTAAATATATTTTATAGAACACTTGCACAAACTATGCTTTCTTCTACTCATTTGGTAGCAAATCATATCGACTTTACACTTTTTGCTTGAAGACAGAGTAAATTTAGGTTTTAAAGAGTTTTCCAATTCCTGAATTTTTTTAAGCCAGATCAGTCGTTGCATTAGCGTTTTGCGATCTTAGTCTACGAGATGCATGCTTTCCGCGTGAGGAAAGTCATTTATTTCTCTATGCCTTTAAGAATACACCATTTAGAGCTCATGAAATTTTACAATTAATGCAGACTATGTTATGCATTTCATGAGGAGCATTGGTAAACAGACAGGTACGGTGCTGTTTGAATGTACATTGCACGATCTCAAAAATCTTATGCTTAAAATTTTTTTATAAAATCTGAATATACCTTGTCTTCAAGCATAAAAAGTAGAGTCGACGTGATTTGCTACCAAATGAGTAGAAGTACGCATATTTTTGTGCATGTCTTCTAAAAAATGTATTTGAACTTTAATGACCATCGAAAATCAATGCGAAAAGTGCATGCTACTTAAGCAGCAATATTTTAACCGAGTGTGCTTTCTACAGGAGATCAAAAAGAAGTGCATTCAATAGCCGACATCCTGTCCACTCTGAAATATTACTGGATTATACTGCAAGATAATCAATATTACAACCCCACCTAAGTAATCCTTCCAAATCGAAAGCGCATTTTAGAAGTTCGGCCAACATTTCATGAAATCGGTCACTCACTGTAATACGAATGCTAAAAGAAGGACGAAGGGGTGCCAGTGGTAATTTATAGGCACTGTGAAGTCGAGCAAATAACAATCTGAAATCTTATTTGTCCTCTATTTTCCTCACAGAAGGACAGAAATCTCGCGGTTGTCCCTCAGACAAAGTCCATCGGGGCTAAGTAAACAGCCCATTAAAGCAATGTCCGCCGTATTGCCATTCATGTGATACTTACCCGAAACAAAAACTGAGCGCTGTCTATTCTTTTGTGGCCACGAGCCAGCCTCCATGTCTTTGTCTTTTTACACAGAAGGCTTTGTCTCCGGCGACGAAGCCTTAAAGGATGCAGAAACTTATTTTTGTTGAGTGACAAAGAGCTAGGCAACAATTGAAGTCACCCAAAATCACGGCAAGCCAATCAGAATTTGGGCTTTTTTCTAGCAATTCCCTTCTACTGATTTGTGCATGAACCTCAAGAGAAGAGTATACTTGCTCCACAAAGATTACCGACAAGGAGGAGACAGACTTGAATGACCACATCTGGGTTGCTTGGCATCCCTAACCGGCCAGACCCAAAACCAGGCCGGGAGTTTAATTCGAGCTCATTTGCGGGGTTGGCAACGGGCTCACGTCGTCGAGGGAAAATGAGTCAAAACTGCCCGAATATGTAGTATTACAAAACCATAAAGTCTGAAATTGTAACTCAACTGCTGGTTTAACTTTTCCTTTTAATTGCTGTGCTGTTCTCGACAATACAGATTAGAAAATATTTAGAAAGTTGCCGTAATTTCCTGTTTCGTGCGAACAAATCGTCAGGGTAGTGTAATGGGAAAGATGAAATTAACGGAGCTCTCAGATGGAATCAAAACCACAAGGGGCAAAGTCAGCTTGATCCGGCTTTGGCAAGCATTAGGCGCTGTTAAACATGAGAAAGGTATTTAAATGTCGGCCTAGGCAATTTTTCCAAATAAAATGAATCGGTAGTGGAGGATGTGATATAGTCCAGGGATAAAATTGCAAAGGGCACAGACGATCAAATATGCACAGTTTGATGTCATAAAATCTAATGACATAGTATTCCACTGCTCATGGTCATTGCATCTTGATGAAATTAACCGTTCAGTATGAAAATTTGATAGATAAATAAAAGAAGGGAATGTTGATCTGACAGGGGGGTGGGCACGATGTGAGGGGGCGGAAAGTTGTATAGGCTACCGAGTTTGTGCTACAGCGAAACCTCGTCAAGCTTGATTACGGTTGCACAGCATGAGACGTTAGTAAGTCATGTAGAGGGAGTGAGGATTCAGGAGGGAAGAATGGAGTTATTTCCCTCTTACCACGACTGCGAGGTAGCTCATGTTATCCAATTGCTTACATAACTATGGTTTTCTCCTTATTGCCGCGACTTCTGAATAACATAGGATATGCCCGATCGCTGCCCGACGCAGGACTTCAAATATAACCGTTGGACTAACGACATGATCGGTGTCTACAAGATGCCTCATATTTGAAATTCTGGGTGCCTTATTTTCCATTCTCGGCAGTGCCCAGCAGACCGAGTTGCCACTTACTATACGTGCGCCCAACGATGTGTATCCGAAACTACGTGAAAACTCATAAATGCAGTTTAATGTCCCGTGCATAGGAAGGATATCTGTAATTGGTCTAACTGGAATAGTCATGATAGTACTTTTGAACAACAAGGCCGAAGTGGCGTATGTACATTCAGTCGTCCATCGAAGCTGTCGCCTAATTTGGCTTTGCTCATTATCGCCCTTGAAAGGAAGGTAGATGCTCACTTACTGTTTCGTCTCGGACATTTCTAGTGGATGGCCTTACTCGGGATGGTGATACTTATCTCTAAATTTCCCAGAAAACGCCGTTCGGGAAACTTATTTATCATTGATCGCATCCGTTGGCTCTATTGAACAGGCAAAAAACCAAGCTTTGTACTCTCTGAATTGGACCGGAACCGAGTAAGTGCAGGTACTGTCCTCTTCTTCTTATTGTTTACTAATTGTATATTGTGCCTCTGTTCTGGAGCAGATCCATGTATCCCTTAGTATCCCTTATGGAGACTGTTTGCACACACCTTAAAAATAGTAATAAACTTGCAAAAGCTAGATTACCCGAAAGGTCACTCCAGCTTCTAAATTAGTCTCATGATGCCGAACGGTTTAAAGGCAGAACATGGCTTTTGCGGGTATAGATGACTTCGGCTAGTTCGGTCGGCTGATTATTCGGCTCAAATGCAGAGTAAAAGAAATAGATTAAATTTATTGCCGCAAAAAATGGAGTTATTTCTGGCCTATTGGCCGTCACCGGCCGCTCACACCCAACCCCAGGTGTACAGCGCCTGGAATTCGAACCTGGGATCTTCGGTCGTCGAGTCTAGTACTCTGAAAATTAAAGCGAGAATTTGCTGTTTTGTCGGTTGTTATCGGGAATATTGATGTCGATAGGGTGGCGCTCAGCGAACAGGTTGCAGGACATGCTTGCTCCGATCACAACCAACAGGACAACGAGCCCTTACTTCACTGAACGAGCATCAGACTCAATAATCAAAGACCCGAGTTCTAACCCTTCGTCTCTACACCTGGAACAGCGTATGGCTGGCTGGTAACGGCTAAAAAAAACAGAAATGGACATTCTGGTCTCCTTTTTCTTTATCGGTATCTGCATATTCTACCAGTCAATACGCAACTGTCTGCAAGGGCTCTAGATTGGCCTCCAGGGCACAACGGGACAGGCATGTCCCGTAAACTGATCGGTGGGGGCCAATCTACCATCAAGAATATACCACCAGTTTATGACTTCGGGGAGTACTTTTTGCATATACAAGGTAAATTCGCGTGAGAAGGGCGTGAACCAATTTATCCTGATGACAGTGCGGAGGAATAAGCTTCGCTCTGTCTTGGAGGCGGGTATTTATAACCTACGAAGGCAATTGCATGGCACTGGCAGTCAGTAGTCGAGGAATTTAACCACCAAACATGGAACACTGGGATGGCCTTCTCAGGCCTACACCAGGCAATATAACTCATGAAATGTGGATAAACTGACAAAAAATTTCAAGTCAATCGAAACCGGATCAAGTGAGTCGACTAAACTTAAGCACAGACGATACATTAAAAGTAATATTGCGGTGTTCCGAAATAGCGACTTTCTTAAGAAACACGGAAATTTCCAAAAAGCAAAAATTTTAGTCAAGTTCGTAAACTCAATTTCTAAAACTGTCCAAAACCTGTATATACAAACGACCAAGTAAAAAAAGTAGCGTAGACACATTGATGTTTAAAAATATCTTGTATATACTCACTATTTATATATTAATTAAAAATTAGTGTAATATGAAGTACGATAGTAAGTCAACAGCCTAGATTTCGACTATGTGTTCCAAAGTGGTTTAACGATAATTCGAGGTAATTTTCCCGTTTTTACATTGACCGCGATGTGAGCAGTTCACAGCTTACGCGGTTGTCACCTCCAGCAAGAATTTGTGCTTCGTCAAACTTAAATATGCAGTAGGGTCCCATAGAATAAACCGCAACTTGGGTGCTGGCGTCTTTCCTCCTCACTGCTGCTGCGTTCTCGGTCGCCCACGTTCGCAGTAGTCTTCCGATTTCTGCAAAACAGTTGCTTTTTTCACAACTGAATCAAGCCCAGTAAACAACTTCAGATGTTTCTTGCCGTGGCAGTGGGTTTTTCGACCTCCTGATCTGGCGCCTTATAGTTGCCTCCGGCCTGTGTGCGCCTCCAATTCCAAGGGGCGTGAGAAGGCGGCTAACGGCTTCTGAGACTTTTCTCACGTACGGGAGGGCTCACCACCATTTGAGGCCGGTTGGGTTTTGTCTTTCGTCTTGTTTGTGCAGGCACTGGTTGACGAAGTTGCGCGGGTAGCCGTTGGCATTGAATATTCGTCGAAGATATTGTAATTCAACAACCTTGTCTTTTGGTTCACTGCAGCATGTCTCCGCATGCTGTTATAGTACCCTTACGCGACTGCGTTTGGGACTGATTGAGAAACCGGAAGACCATACTTCTGGACTCACTCAAAAATTAAAATTAAACGTCGAACAATGGAAAAGCCCACACAGAATGCCTACGATGAATCGGCCTTTGTTTAAATGAAAAACCGTTAGCAGTCAATGTTACCATGACCTCTGGCTGCACTCGACGAGGACATCGTTTCAAGGATGCCGGCGGTTCGAATCCCAACGGCAGACTTAAAAATGCACTTTCTGACTATTGTAATGGACCCCTTAAAGTTCAATAACACGATCTCAAGTTTCGGGTCCTTCCTTCATAATGCGACCTAAGCCTCGCCCATTGTAGTAAACACATCTTAGTTGCCCCAAGAGGAGTTCGCCCAAGTAAAGGGTCTGTAAATACTAAAATATTATTTGCATGTAAATTTTCTTCGCCTATCTGATATTTTTAATATATGCCAAGAGGTGAGTTCCTGGAAGTAGTCGTGAAGAGGGAGACATGATCGCTGGAACAAGAGTTTTATTAGCCTGACGTTTGGGGTTCTCACTCGAATCCATCATCAGAGACGGGCAAGACCAAGAACCTTACCCAACACCAAATGTCGTCTCTCCTTATGGCTCACAGGCCGCGCGAAGTGATTTCCAAGGCCGAACGTGCTGTACTTAAAGGACTCAAGGCCGATAAAGAGTTCGTTATCGTGCCTGTGGACAAGGAGCGCTCCAAGGGTGTTTTGACAGGAGTGACCACCTTCAGAAGGCCAAACGTTTACTGGAGGACCGGCAGTCCTATGCCCCCTGCGCAACCAACCAGTTAAAAATCCTGACACGCGAAACCAATGCGACGCTGTTGTCATTGGCCAATTCGAGTGCAATATCGCCGGCTGACCGAAGCATGGCGAGAGCCCAGGACACCGCATTTGCCCGCTTCGATGGTCTTTCCAAGGTGCACAACGCGGGTGTCCCCCTCCGGCCCATCGTCTCACTCAAAGGTACTCCAACTTACGGGCTGGCAAAATGGTTGTTTCGGCGTCTCAAATATCTAATCGCAAATTCAGACACTATAGTCAGTCCGTCAACCCAATCTTTAGAGAAACTGAAAGGGGTAAGCCTCCTGCCAAGTGACGTCATGGTATCCTTTAATGTCACGTCCCTTTTTACTTCTATTCAGCAGGACCTGGCAGTCAACACCATCGAACTACTCCTACGAGACAAGCAAGATGAAACTCAGAATCGCGTTAGACAAGACCAAATCCTCCAAAACCTGCAGTTCTGTCTCTGGACGTACTTTATATTCGACGGGACAATCTACGGGCGGACGAAGGGCACGCCAATGGGTTTACGGATTGCAGGACTCATAGCCGAGGCGGTCTTACAACGGTTGGAGACGGTTGGAGACAGCACAGACCAAAATTCTAGACTCAATATGTTGATGCTACCTTTGTCGTCATCAAACGGGATCAGGCGTCGCAATTCAGAGAACATCTCAACGCCATCTTCCCGGACATCTAATTTCCGGTGAAGGAAGAGGAAAACAACCAGTTGGTCTTTCTGGATGTCCTCATTTCTGCAAAGATTGTAGAGGCCTAAAAACCAAAGTATTCAGGAAGGCGATAAACACGACGCAAGTAATCAGCTACAACAGCAACCACCCAATCAGCCACTAACGCAGCCGTATAAGGGCAATATACAGCGTGCGGAAACACGCTGCAGTGAACCGAAAGACAAGACTGTTGAATTACAATATCTTAGACAGATATTCAAAGCCAACGGCTACCCGCGCAACTTCGTCAACCAGTGCCTGCACAAACAAAACGAAAGACAAAACCCAACCGGCCTCAAATGGTGGTGAGCTCTCCCGTACGTAAGAAATGTCTCAGAAGCCGTTAGCTGCCTTCTCACACCCCTTGGAATTGGAGTCGCACACAGGCCGGAGGCAATTATAAGGCGCCAGATCATGAGGTCGAAAAACTCACTGCCACTGCAAAAAACATCTGAAGTCGTTGATGGGGTTTGATTCAGTTGTGGGCAATGCAACTATGTCGCAGAAACCGAAAGACTACTGCCGATGCGGGTTACCGAGAACGCAGCAGCAGTGAGGAGAAAAGACGCCAGCACCCAAGTTGCGATTTATTCGACGGGACCCGACCGCATATTTAAGTTAAGCGAAGCACAAATTCTTGCTAGAGTTGACAACCGCGTGAGCTCTGAGCTGCTCGGATCATGTTTTTTTCCGATCCTTTATCAATCAACAAGCGCAACGACCTCTCCACTCCATATTCAACGCTCCGACTTTGTCCAGACAATGTAGTTAGCCGCGAGGAGAGCTTGCGGATGACTACTGTTCCTGGTGTCAGTGTCGACGAGTCAAATTACCCAACAGATGACGAAAGCAGACAGTCAGCAACTCGTCTGCGTGCGATGAACGTGGGAGCCGATAATCTTGACTAGCACACAAGGGCATAGCAACGGCGTGGTAACCGCATATTTTAACACCTGGTCAGTCGAGCCGTGATGCAGTCGGGAGCTGCCGACTGTGATAGACATGTATCGGCCTAACAAATAAATCCTGTAAATACTGCAACACCTGAACAACTTACCACTCTTATCTGACTCTGTCTCTGATGATGGATTCGGTTGAGAATCCGAACCGTTAGGCTGATAAAGCTCTTACTCCAGAGATCGTGTTGCTTTCTTCTCGATCCGATATTTGTTCCATTTAGCTTTAAAATTCCAGGCTTAAGTCCTCATAGATGGTCACATGGGGATAAATAATGAGTTTTATACTTGTGTCATGCTATATTCGCGACTAGAATTTCGTAGACAGAGACGCTATTGTTCACGAACCCTGTTATCTACTACCAAACCAACACCACCTACTGAAACAATATAAGTAAGCACTTTTGAATAATATTATGCGAGTGGATGCCCTAACGGAAATATCGTCCAAAAGGCAATTTGGCGAGCATACGTTTGCTTTTGATAAATTCTCTTCAGGCCTGTACATTTATATGGCTATTGAAGTAATGAATGCAAAAGATACGGGTAGATAGGGGAGGGTAGGGGAGGGGGGGGGGTGAGAAACCATAATTCCAGTCAGCGCCAGGGGGAGGGTGGGTCCCGGCGAATGCAGTTACATGCGGGTGTCTGGCTTGGTGGCTTTGTCCCAATTTCACGCAGTCACGCGGAAGCGGGGCACTACTCTGACTGCAGGACGGGACACGAGCAATTCTGCTTTCGTAAGATCTCCTGATCAGAGTCCTGCCAGGCGGCTCCACAGCGGCGAGCGGTCAGTAACGGGCAAAACTATCGAGAAGTGCAACAGCTATTTCTGGGTTTATTTGTCGTTGTCAGCTACCCATACCCCTATTCCCCAGTCTATTAAAAAGTGCAGCGACCTTCCCCTTCCGTATTCGGTGCTGAGAATTCGCCTAGGCAGAGTAATTAGCGACGCGGGGGCCACACAGGCAAACACTGTTCCCAACTCCACGGTCGTTGCGTGAGATGGTCGAGCAATCATCACACCAACATCCAAAGCACGTGATGAAATTGCAGCAATTAACGGCGCTAATGTCGGCCATCAAACAGTCATCACGCCAAGTGCAACGATCCCTGATGAAGGGGGAAGTCGTGAACATTCATAGGTATGCGGCAGCATAACGACTGCATCCTATAAATACTGCAGCCTTTGTGTATGAACAATCCGTATCAGCTTTTGCCTCTGATGATGGATTCGATCAGGAATCCGAAACGTCAGGCGAATAAAGCTCTTGTCCCAACGATCGTTTCTCCTTCGTCACGACTGCTTTCTGGGACTCGTCTCTTCGTTTCTATTGGCATTTAATGGAGACTCTTTATTCAAACCCCCTATCAGTAATATGACTGCCCCACTACTTCGTTGGTTGTTAGAAGGGATATTAATAAGGACGGAAGTGCGCTTATCGACTTACTCGATACAAACCCTTGGTTTCCACATGGAACCCTTGCTTTTCACAAACGTGACGAATTGACAATTACTTTTCAGCTGAATAATACGTGGGGTTCCATACGTTCCGGGAATTTGCATTCACTTCGAACAGCACAGTTCGAAGAGGTAAGAGGTTTAGAGATCCAGATGTGCTTCCGCCACTGCACGGGGTCAAATTCGAGCACTAGCACAATAGCATTGCTGGCGGTTCGCACTCTGGAACAACGCTGAATTTCCAGTGAAGTTTCATGAGGATGCCCCCGAAGAATAGGATTCAGAAGCGATAATAAAAGAGCAATCCAAGAACATTTTACTGCAGCTATAGATAAAAGAATTGAGGGGCCGAACCCTCTGATAACCTCTGATAGCTTATCTTTACCAAGTTAAGCACTGGAATTTTACGCGAAGATAACGCAGAAAAAAAATCACTCCCCAGTTTGTCGAGGGAATATACCATCATCCAAGAAATTTTGTTTCTGTCTTAGCAAATTTTGAGCAGCATTATTTTTGACGATCACGGCAAAAATGCTGTACCTGGACGTAACAACAGGGGAGTAACGGGAAATCGCTAGATAGATATGTTCTAGGTCTGTATGTGTGAATTAAAGATATGCGGGAGTCTTCCATACCTGGTCGGGAAACTATGGTCCTCGCAGCCTACTGTTCGCTGACAGTTTTACAGTATCTGTTTCCCTGCCGGTAGATGCACTTACGCTCCCGCTGGGTAAACAGGTCGTGAGCATAGCTGAACAGTCGTCTTCGTTGTTCTCCTGACCAGTTGTGATGCTGTTGTTGTTGGCTAAAATACTGCTCAAGTGTTTGTTGTGGACCGAGGGGTGTGGTGGTACGCCTAGGTGCGGGTCCGATCGTGTCAGTCACCTGCGCCCTCCCTCAGCGCCCGTCTTCTTGACTATGTCTTGGCATCAGCTAAGGTGAGGATGAGAGAGTGCAGTAGATGCTACGCAAGCCCACATTCACTATAAACTAATTCACGAGCAAATCATCGTGCCTGCTTCAACTTGGTGGCCATCGTCGGGTAGGACGGCCGGACTGTCGTATGTTCGAATGAGAAATTCGGCTGCCTATCTTAAGCAATTGATGGTTCGACAAGCAGTAGGCACTATAAATGGAAGGAAGGCCCCAACCTACACCCGCCGCACCTCACTATACACAGTTTGGCGCGATTTAGACTACCACGGGGCATTAAATGCCATGGCTTTAAAGGTTACCAAATTACGATTCAACTCGCACCACGCAGTCAGTCCAGCGTGTTTTTGAGTTGAGCGGCCGACTGATGGACCGAGAGTTAGACTGCGAAGACTCCTTAATGACACTCTCACACATGTGAGATCTGAACTGCCTAGGCCCTTTTTGTGTAACCCTAGTGTGTGCGTTTCTGGGGCCAAGTCGTGTATGTGCTGTGCGCAGACGGGTTCTCTAGCCTTGTCAAGCATTACGCCCACTCCC